AAGATTTTTTTTTCTAAATTTGCAATCTAAATCAGTTGGGAAAGATAGGAAGAAAAATGAAATGAAACTACAGTATGATTTGAGATTTGAGATTTGAGATCTCATGGGGATTCCCATGTCATAATCTCCAGATTAAATGAAAATTGAAAAATATCGGTTAGACAAGAAAAAAAATGAGAGTTGGAAAGTGGTGAGAATATGGAAAAGGATTGGGATATTTGTAAAATTGGAATTGAATTTGATTGGGAATTGTAGAATTGGAATTGAAAAAGATTGAGGAATTGTAAAATTGTAAATGAAAAAGATTGGGAAATGAGAGTTGGAAAGTGGTGAGAATGTGGAAAAAGATTGGGATATTTGTAAGAATTGGAATTGAAAAAGATTGAGGAATTGTAAAAGATTGAGGATATTTGTAAAATTGGAATTGAAAAAGATTGGGAAATGAGAGTTGGAAAGTGGTGAGAATGTGGAAAAAGATTGAGGAATTGTAAAATTGTAAATGAAAAAGATTGGGAATTGTAGAATTGTAAAATTGGAATTGTAAAAGATTGGGAATTGTAAAATTGTAAAATTGTAATTGAAAAAGATTCGGAATTGTATTTGTAAAGAAATCGGAAAGTTTTTGAATTGAATTTGATTGTTCGTGTTAATAAAAATGCTTTTTAAAGTAGTACTGAAAATTTGATTTTTATTTATTCAGTGCTACTTTTATAAAACCATTTTTATTAACATTATTAATATTAACAATAACAATCAAATTTTCAATATCTAGGAAATCTAGAAAAGATTGTTTAATCGTTGAAATGAAATCCTTGATATGCTCAGAGTCTCCCCTATTGCCTTTCCTTTCCCCTATTGCCTTGCCCCTATTGCCTTTCCTTTCCCCTATTGCCGAATCATGAAATTCTGAAATGAACTATCACATCATGAACATCAACTATCTCACTATCTCAGCTCTTCAAATATTCTAGAAAATTTGAGAAATTCACTCGAAAATCGAAAATCTATTCGTTTTTTTTTTGGATTTCAAAGAATTGTAGTTGAAATGAAAGATGCGAATGTTATTGAAGGGGTTTTCATGTCAGAATTTCATGATTGGGCAATAAGGGAAAGGGGGGAGACTCTGGGCATATCAAGGATCTCATTTGTGTGTCCCTTGGCCCTCTCCGTGTCACCCATGAGATGCCTTCCCGTGTCCATCCCCTCCTCCCCTCCTCCCCCCTCATCCCTGCCGTAATTAAAACCCCCGATGTCTCTTTTTTTTTGTTTGACATCTCTTCTTCTTTTCTTTTTAACAATTCTCTTTTTTTTTTCTTTTCCTTGAATTTCCTTTCTATAGATTACGGTAGCTCTCGATGCTCGATCCCTCATTCATTTATCCTCGATCCCTCAAACTCATTCATTTCAAATCAAGCGCGTGCTCTTTTCGAGTTAAACAAATTGCAACTATCAAAAGCTTTTTGAGGCTACCTTTTTGACTTTTGAACTTTCAAAATTTCCCTACTAATGACTCACAAAGTTTTTTCGTTTTCGAGACTATAAATTTTTGGGAAAAGGTCAAACAATGGTCAAACAAATGGTGAAATATCAAAAAAAATAGTTACAAAAGAGCTACTCAAAAGTTATTCCGATAAAAATAAAGATACAAAGCGAATTCCAAAAGTGAGCAAAAGCAAGATGGTGAATCAAAAAAGAAAAATTTACTGGTTAAGTTCTGCGTTATGCAGAAATGATCCTGAAAGACAGAAATACCCAAAAATGATCTCAGTCTTGACAGGCTATTCGAAGACTGAAAAATCCGAGAAAACACGAGAAAAGGGAAAGGAAAAGACGTCGAAATTCGCGCTTTTTCGATAGGCAAATAGAAATCAGCGAAAAGTGATCAGAAAAGTGAAAAATAAAAGTCTTTTTATCTTTTTCCCGGTTTTCTTTAACATCTTTTTTTTCCATCGTCCAATTGATTGTCATCGTTTAGAACTTGTTTTTTGTTTGTTCACGGTAAAAGGAAAAGTATTGATCTACTTTTTGGAAATTATGAAATTTGAAAAGAAAAAACAACATTTAGAGAGAAAGATTTCGAGAATTCGATCTAGTAAAGCAAGTTACAGCAAGTTACAGCTTTTTGAACGTAATCAAAAATTTTTGGGAGTTAAAGCAGTTGTTTGTTGCAGTTGAATCTATTCGATTAGTCAAATCGAGAATGAAGCCAATGTTTGAGTCATCTATATAAGAAAATAGAAATCGAAATCGAAATAGAAAGGAATCGATTTGGAAATTCGATTGAAATAGTAAGAATGGTGGGCAAAGGAATGGCAAAGGGTGGGAAGGGGATGGGAGGGGAGGCGGGGAGGGGAAACAATTCGCGTTACAGCGATAATCAGATATAGATTGATGGAGGGAATCGAATAAAGAAAGAGAATCGGTAGAGTATCTTCCACAAATCATAGATAGGCAAAATTTGAAGGAGATTTCTTTTTTGTTTCTTTATGGCCTAGATCAAGTTGTCTTTATTAAATGAAACACATTGAGAAGAGTTAAAAATTGGCTTAAATGGCTTAATTTATGATGATGTGTTTGTTACGACTTATGATTGACAAGTAAATGAATTTGATAGTTGATAGTTGAATTTGATAGCCTATTTGATAGTTAATAGTTGAATTTGATAGTTAATAGTTGAATTTGATAGCCTATTTGATAGTTAATAGTTGAATTTGATAGCCTATTTGATAGTTAATAGTTGAATTTGATAGTTGAAGCATTTAATGTTAAGTTATGACGTTTTATAATCCAGATAATACGAAAGTACACATTTACCAAGCCGATATTGATAAATTAAAGAAAAGAAAGAAAGAAAGAAAGAAGGGAAGAAGGAAAGAAGGAAAGAAGGGAAGAAGGAAAGAAAGGAAGTAGGGAAGAAGAGGAGAAAAGCCGATACATAAAAGGGGAGTCTGAGGGGAGAAGGGGCTATGGGAGGGGAGAGGTCCCTGTGGGCCATCGAATAATAGAAAAGAGCAAGAGAAATGTGGAGAGTGAAAAGAAATGAAAGAAAGAAGAGAGGAGCAATCATTGGCTGGCTATTTCTCTTCAATATCTCTTTACAAATATTATTCACCGCGAGAGATTTGAAACATAATTTCAGGAGATTTTTTGCCGTAAAAGTTTGAGAGAAAAAAAAACAAAAACATCCTCGAAATCCCTTTATTTTCTTGTTGTTTAGCTCAAATTTGTTCTTGAAGTGAGCAAAGATTGCTTTCGACAAAGAAATTGAAGACAACTCCGGATGAAAACTGAGAGAAATTCGATTTTGAAATCGGATTCAACAAACCACCCAAAACAAGAGGATATCAATGGACGGGGAAACGTTTTTTTTACAAATAAACTTTACTTTTGCAAAAATCTTGCATTTTATTTAAACTAAATCAAACTAAATTGTTTCAATATTTGTTCTTTGTCTGATTTGAAACCCTTTAAACTTTATACGATATCCATTTCCTCTTCTAATCGTTGATCTCTAGATTTAACGTCGGTTTTGCTAGGTTTTGCTGAGTTTTTCTCGTAAAACCCAAAAGAAAGAAAAACTTCTTTTCTAAAACATGTAAGCTTTCTCGAATATCGAATAATCTCTCGTATCGTATCTTTGACTTTTACTTCTTCATCTTTTACTTAGCTTCATCTGATTTTATGTGGGGAACTACTAATCCATAGATTCGATAAAAACTAGTGGTTAGTGGTAAAAAGAAAAAAACTAGAAAGATTGAAATCAGCACCTTTTCGAAAACTACATATCCAATGATTGTATCGACTTTAGTTCCCATTTCGTGGTTTAATTATTTTTAAAAGAAACCAGTGAAGGAAAAAGGGAAAAAGGGAAAAATGGGGATGGCCGAAGGGGAAATTAATTTCCTGTCTTCAACAAAATGACGGGATTTGAAAAAGAAAAAAGAGAATGCGGAAAGATTACAGGGAATGAAAAAGAAAAGATATTCAGGTGAAGTCAATGAGGGGAGCTTTTGGAATTTTACATTTTTCCTTCTCGTTAGTGCTTTATTCATTTAGAATTTGGTAAAGGTAAAGGAAATGAAATCGATGGAGAACAAAAATAGAGGGGAATTCTTAGAAAAGAGGTGGAGGAAAGTGGAAATTGGGGGGAAAAGTTTTGACTTTTGAAATTTGCTGTAGTGTGTTTTGTCAAATAACGTGTTTTCTAAAAAGTGTTCTCTTCTCGATAGATAGATTTGATAAAACATTAGATATAAGGTTACAGTAGTCGAGAAAAAGGGGCACTTTTTAGAAAGCTCAATATAAGAGAGGAACTCTATTCAAAAGCTATCAGTTCTGGAAGCCATAAAAATAATGTGTGCAAGTATGTAACTAAATGGCGGAAATCTCATGTCATTAAGTGAGTGATATTTTCGTTTTTCTCTTATTCACAATAAATGTTTCCCATTGAGAACAATTACGACACAATGATGATAAAAAGGAAAAAAAAACGGAATCGAAATGAGTGTGCTAAAGAAGTTTTGGTGAATGAACGATCGATAATTGATGATTATATCCATCACATGAGCGTGTTTGACTAATTGAGAGAAATAGTAGTTATCTTTCTCGGAAAAAGATTAGTTTGCACAGCGGCTAAAAGGGTTCAAACACGAGAGAATCCTGTTTTTATGCTGAAATGGTTTGCTAAAAGAAGTTATTCAGTCCAATTTTGGATTCGAATACTTGTCATTTTCCACCCGATCGGTTCTCTTTTCAACCGAAATTGCATTGAAGCTCTATATTAATGCGCAAAATCCCCTCCAATCAATCGTTTATTGGAAAAGAGCAACAAAGCACCACATCTATCTATATAAAATAACCCCTGAAAATCACAAATCACCCCCCAGATATACAATAACAAGAACCTAAATCACAATTTAATGGTAAGAGATGCAAAAGTCCAAATTAATCTGTTAATCATCCACCCGTAAAACTTGAAGGATTATAAGACAAAGGAATTATTTATTATTTCCAATTGGACAACTTCCTGGATGGGATTCGACTCGATCAACCAATCCAAATTCGAGTGCTTCGTGAGCGGACATGAATCTAAAATTTGATGGTTGAAAACATTAGCAAAAATTTTAATTTTGCACGTAAATTGACAGTAATTACCTGTCTCTGTCCAATGTTTTCTCTACAACATCAACCGGTTGTTTTGTGTGATGAGTGTAGATTTCATTGAGACGACGTTTCAAACGGATAATTTCCTCGGCACGAATCAGAATATCGGACGCTTGGCCCTAAAGCAATGAGTCTGTAAGTGTAATTCTTTTTTATAAACAGGAAAATTTCGTTAGAGTTCAACAAAATTTGCTTAATCTTAATGAAAAATTCAAAGTTTACCTGAGCACCTCCACTTGGTTGATGTAGCATAATTCGTGCATTTGGAAGAGCTGAACGATGCCCCGCTTCTCCGGCAGCCAACAAAAGACTTCCCATGCTTGCCGCCTAAATTTTTAAAAAAATGATCAAAATGTTAATGTTACCTGTCCAATGCACCATGTGTAAACGGGAGCCTTTATGTATTGCATCGTGTCGTAAATTCCCAATCCGGCCGTTACGACACCACCTAAATTTCTGTTAAAATCATTTTATTTCCAAAGAAACATATAGGCTTCGGCATTTAAACAGTCATAATGTAACCAACCAGGAGAGTTGATGTACATGTGAATCGGTTTTTTTTGGCTCTCCATCTCCAAGAACAAAAGTTGAGCAATCACGGCCGACGCAACGTAATCGTCAATCTAAAACAAAACACCTCAGAACCTGATTGAACTCTATTTAATTAGGTTAAATTGATTTTTCTTCCTCATCGAGTACAATCCATAAATCAACCCGAGCACATTTTCATGAATAAATGTTTGCTTTATTCAATACACATGCACACTATTATTTTATCGTTCAGATGGTTTATGTTCGGATTTAAAATTAGTATCATAGAATCAAACATGAACTATCTTGGCTTATTGTTAGAAAAAACTCACAGGTGTCATGACACAAACAATTCGATCCTTGAGTAGCCGAGAGTAGATATCGTAGACTCGTTCACCTTTACCGTCATTTTCGATCACTAGCGGAATCGCCGCTTTTTTAGCTCCTAAAATAAGAAGTTGACATCGTCTAAGCGTAGGAAAATATATTATCAGTATTAAAGATGCATAATAATGTACAACTGTGTGTTCAATGTTCAAGGACACAGAATTTACCTACGCAACTATAAGGAAAAACTTGAATTACCTGTTAGATGGACTCGTCGCACGCCGAGGCGGAATAATCCAGGCAGCGTTTTTAACATTTCTGCGGCTAAATTGTAACCTTTAGACCGTTCATAAAAGAATTGGTAAAATGAAGTATTGCACTGTTTGATAAAACGATTAGCGAGTGCATTTTTGATTTTATATACAATTTATCATCAAAATACGTAGAAAACTATTACACTAAATCTCCTATACATTATTAATGGAATGAACGAGAAAATCACAGATGCATTCAAAGAGGGCAATCAATTTTGAAGAAAAAGAAAATAAAAATGGATATTATACGAACAAAATTGAAATGACAAACAAAACTATACGATTAAATGTTTTTAACGGAAATCTTCTGGATTGAAGAGACCTCTGGCTCTGTTGAGAATACTGTCCTAAAAAGAAAAAGGTGATGCTTGCGATAATTTTGTCTATCGCTTGTAAGTATGCAAAAATTCTGGGTAGAAACTTTTCAATATTCTTAATTCTTTAATAATGATCAAAGGGTCATGATATCTCTTTGACTAGTATAAAATAACAAACCTTGCTAGGATCATATGGGGCTTCTTTGGACGGAATCTCGAGTACGGCCGGAATACTCGCTGTATGCTAAAAGAAAAATCATGAAACTACAGTCATGTGCAAAAGTCTTTTAACACTCAATTTTCTAAAAAGTTACATCGATTTTCTTTGATAAAGTTCATGGCGCTCTTTAAGCTACTAATAGTTTTAGTTACACAAATATCTGAACAATTTATTTACACAAACGCTGTTGCTATACAAAACTTATTCATCGAGAAAAAAATATAATTGTCAAAACACCCCTGAAAACCGTGGTGCAAAAGTCTTGACTTGAAAAATTTTTTGATTATTTTCGTTCGCTTCTTGTTTACTGGTACTAATTTATTTTTTTTAGATGCCAGGAGCGTATTTGTCAACTCCGAATAAAGAAATGACCGTCAAGGCAAGGAAACAAGGGATGTCACGACAAGACGTTGCTCGCCTCTTACGATGTACGCCCACAACAGTTTCTCTTGTTATCGCAAAAATGAATGCGTCTGGAAATGTGCACAGATGTAGGAAAAAGGGACGGCCGAGGATTACAACAAAGAATGAAGACCGATTCCTTACGGGAGTTTTCATGAAGGATCCGAATTTGACGTTGAACGATGGAGTCATTCTTTTCAAGCAAACTTCAAACAAGAATATTTCCCGCTGGACCTTGCATCGACGCTTGCTTCAAGCAGCATTGCATACTAGAAGACCTCCTCGCAAGCCTATGATGACAGCCAAACACAGGAGGCAACGCCTTCAATTTGCTCGAACCTATTCAAATTGGACAATTGGGCTCGAGTGATTTTCGTTGATAAAAACAAAAGTTGATATTTTTCCTTCAAATCGAAATCACCTGATCCGACGTCCAGTCGGAAAGCGATATCAACGAAAGTACTTGCAACCTACGGTGAAAATAGGCGGAGGATCAATTATGTGTTTCAATAAGGATAATTTTCTTTTTATGCAGCCCAAAGTGATTTCTTTAGGTGCTATGTGTAAAAGTTCAACAGGTCCGCTTGTCCTCGTAAAGTCAGCAATGGATTCCCGCCAATATATTGAGATATTGAAAAGATGTCTACTTCGATGAATCCACGATGGTTTCTTTACCAAGATAATTCGCCAATACACAAAAGCAAACTTTTGATAGGCCGCGTTGTGACTCTCTCGAATGGAGGAAAAGCACATTTACCGGGATGGTTTGGGATCAATCACGTTTCCTTGATCAAAGCTCCACCATTCTCACTGGATTTAAATGTTATCGAGAATTTATGGGCCTATTTGAAATCGAAATTGCGAGGAAAACGTTTCAATTCTAAAGTCGAGCTATGGTTTTACATCAGAAAAATTTGGAGGACGATTGGACCTGGAATTCTTGATGAATTCATTCGATCGATGCCTACTCGTGTTAAAGAAGTACTTTTGGCGAAAGGAGGGTCAACAAAATATTGATTATAGCTTAATTTCGTCTTGTGTTAAAAGACTTTTGCACCACGATTTTCAGGGGTGTTTTGACAATTATATTTTTTTTCTCGATGAATAAGTTTTGTATGGCGACAGCGTTTGTGTAAATAAATTGTACATATATTTGTGTAACTAAAACTATTAGTAGCTTAAAGAGCGCCATGAACTTTATCAAAGAAAATCGATGTAACTTTTTAGAAAATTGAGTGTTAAAAGACTTTTGCACATGACTGTATGTAGACCGTTTAGCTGACTTTAAAAGACTAAAGCCTTAATGCTTTGTATTTGAGCGTTGCAAAGAATTCTTGAAGTAAGTTTGCAAAAGTAATTACTAATTAACGTTTGACCTTATGTCATAATTCTAAATTCATAAGCAGCAACGACGATTTCAGCTTTTTGCAATACATACGAATTTAACAAACAAAAACATCAATTTACCTGATCCACGGCATATCGAATCATCTCGGCAATGTGTTGATTGATGAGAATGATGGCGATGTCTTCTCTTGCACACATCGTTTTAAAGGCTTCTTCAATCTCGGTGACTGCCGTGTTCTTGTCCACAATCAAATAGTTCGGCTTTCGTGCCTAGAGTAAAACGATGTTACAGATAAAACTTTTTGTTTTCGTGTAGTTTTTTCAGAGGCTATGGTTATTACAAAATGACTTCAAAATGACTTATGACTTCAAAAACCTTTATCATTCCTAGAAGCTACCGCGGATTTTTTAAAAGTTAATTGTAAAGTAATTTCTTAAGTTTAGTTTTATAGGTACTTTCTGGAAGACGGAGTTGGCCCGAGCATAGCCAACTCCGTCATCTACTAGAGTTAAAGTTGTTCTCTCCACTATTCGTAAATTGTTGCTTCATCAATTCTGTTCATGTTTTACTCATTTGTTAGCCAAGACTTAAAATTAAAACATCAAAAATACTCCCACCTTGTTGAGTTCACCGACCCCGCCGAGAAGAAATCCAACGACGGTGTCCTCATCTCCAATCACCCCAAGGATTTTTCCCTTCACCAATGAGGCCATCACTAAAAAAAAAGCTTAGAATAATTTGAACGTTAAAAATTAAGAACGCAAAGAAAATGTGAGTCAGTCGAGAAAAATAAAATTGAAGGTAAAACAAAAAGAGCACCATCTTATAATCTATTTTCATATGGATATTCAAACAAATATACTGAATATTTTGAAGATTTTTTTAAATTTCAAAGTGGCTTTATTTAATGACATTTAGAGGATATACACTCATTTTGTCGTCTTACCAGTCCTAATGGTTTATCTAAAGCTCCCTCGATCGCTGCCTTAATTTTGCGGTAGATATGTATTGCAAAGTTTTTTTTAAACAGCCGAATCAACAATGCGCCTAGTTGTGTGGATGAAAGATCGAGTCTGTAGTTTGTCCTCTTGTGTTCTTTTCACGGCTCAATCAATCCCTTCGGGATCACAACTCTTTTCAAATCGACAAAAATGGCGGGTTCTTTCTGTTTCAGAAAAGAAAGACCCTTTCGAATATAAATAACATGTTCATACTTGTGAGAAATTCAATGTTTTGCAAAGCTTTATTCCTTCAAAGACACTTACTTAGACCTTTTAATTTGTCTAAATGTTTTCTGTTTTCCCTAAAAATTTCTTTTTTAACATTACTATTTTAGGTACAATGGCAAATTGGGGCAACGAAAGCTTCGGTGATGGCGGAGGATGGGGTGGTGATGGATCGTTCCTGAATCCAAGTATGTTTTTGTTTGATTCTACTTCTTAAAACTTTTTTTAGATCCATCGAATTTGGATAGTTCGCAACAACGCCTTGCCGATAAGATGCCTTTTCCGGTGACGGTAGAGAAAATCGCAACAACTCCTTGTGCCGATGATAAACTCTCCATTGGAAAGATTGGGTTCAGTCAGGTTGGGGTTTTTGTTGTTAATGCACTGCCCGATGATTTTCTTGATCAACAAAAGAATATTTGAACGTAGATGATATTATTATTACGTGGATGAAATTTAACAACCGTTACTTTCTCAAAGTCGTGGAAGAACAAGCTGGTCCACGTTGTGATCTTACAATTCAAGCTATCACGGTCCTAATAAAAAACTTTACTAGGCTTTTACGGTTAGTTGTAGGTAATAAAATTAAGTACAAACTGTTTAATCCCTATCTGTAATATTTTAGATTGTTCTCTATGGGTGTGTGGACAGTGTACAAGAAGTTGAGGCTGGATCAATGTTTCGAATGGTGCTTTCCGACCCAGACAACAGCCAACACACCGTTCCTGTTACTATTTTGCGAATGGTTTGTTTTTTGGTAATTAAGTCAATTATGATTTTTTTTAGTTTGATTCGGGAGATGAAGATAATGTGACTTATGCTGAGGGAACGTTGATCGCTTTAATTGGAAAACTGCGAAATTCCGGAGGTGAAATGAGTGTGCTCGTCCTTAAGGTTTGTTTAAGGTTAGAAAATCATCTGAAAAATTTTAGAGCCGAGAAGTCACAAATCGCCGTGAATACGAGTGTTTCAAGTGTGAGTCGCAACTTGCACAGATGTACTTTGAAAAAGTGAGCGCTTGGATTTTATCGATTTATTGCCACCAGTAGTTAACCCCCGGCTAAACGCCGGGGGGTAAACTGCTGGCCGATTTGGGGCGACGCATAGTTTACATGAATCAAAATTTAGTATTAATTGTTGACAAATTTACTACGGTTTACTATTTTACTACTAAGTTTGCATTTCATGAACTAAACTGAGTTTAAGAGGCAAATTTTCCCGTTTATCCGGAATTCTTTTGACAGTCGCTGCCGACGCTTTGAACTTTCCAAAAAACTTTCAAAAAGCCAAGAATTTTCAAAATGTTTTTAGTGCCAAAAATAAATTTATTTTAATATGTACAAAGTGAACGGACACATACATACTTTCCGTCTTATAAAAAGTAAGTTTTTCTAGGGAATCGGTGACGCGATTCGAAACAATCAAGACATCAAAGCTCTAATGAACTCTCCATTGGCTCCAGGAAATAGTAGACCACCAACAATTGTGAGTTTTAACAAATTTTGTTTCCAAACATGGTTCATTTAGAAGAATCCAGTTAAAATCCCACCATTGAGAAGCAGCTTGCCACAACAAAAGCCCATGAATGCCGGTATGAGCGCACGGGATAAGGTTTGAAATTAATTGGGGCCATTTAGAAACATTCTTTTAATTTAGGTTATTCAATATTTGAAGCAGGAGTCGAAGATTTCTGGAGAAAATGGTGTTCACATCGATCGTATTTCGCAGGTATGGTTTACTATTTTTCACATAAGTTTTAGTTAGTGATTTAAGCACAGCTAGTTGTGAAATTTTAAAACAAATTTAATCTATTTTTAGGAGACTGGCGTGCCGGTGGCTGAGTTACAGAAACATCTCGACAATCTCACTGGTGAGGGTGAAGCCTTCCAGACGATCGACAGTGAACATTATGCCGTTTTTTAATGTTTGCTTGGTCTTTGCAAGTACCATTTTGTATTTATCCGTTTCACTTATCAAATTCTTCGTTTTTCTTTTGGTTCTCAATGATCTCTCCAAGCCGGTTCGATGATTTTCATTGTAGGTCGGTTAATTTCGAAATAAATATTTGAATTGTCTTTTTTGACTCCGTAGATACTTCATACTAGAGAGTTAACAAAGTTCGTGTTGTTAAAGGCCAGAGAAACCGTTGAAGGAAAAAGGAGATTGGAGAGGAAGCTAAGAAAAATTAACACTTGGAAATAAATCGTTTCTTTGCGAAAAATGCCGAATATCCTAAAGACACATTTGGTAGTGAAAAATAAATAGGTACCTAGTTCCGTGTTTGAAAATGCACTCAATTACAGACAAACGAAACTTTACTTTTGGCAGCGTCCTCAAGCTATTGTAGTATTTACTTATCCATTATAAATGCTCGTTCAAGAAAAATTGTATTGCACGTATGTAGACTGTGCGCGTGTCTAGGGCTTTACAATATTAACTCAGCCTCAATACATTTTTCTGACTAGGGAGAGGCACCAACTTAAGGTCGAGTTTAAGCCTATAGAATGGTATCCTGGTAGAGTTTGATACGGGAAATCCGAATCCGTTTTTAGTTTTTCCTGCGGACGTCTCAATCGTCAGATATTTGGCATCAAAGTTTTTACATTGGAATTTAGGGCGCTCTCTAGCGAATCTCTAGCGCTCATGGTTCGAATCCGGCTACTATTTTTTTTCGAATATTTTTTTTGCGTTTTTTTCTAAAAGATCTATGCATAGTATAAAATGGAGCTAAACTAATTTAGGCACTTGTTTAAAATTGTAGCCTTACTATGTTTAAAACCCAATTTTCAACACAAAAATCCAATAAATTTGGGATTTGGGATTCAATGATCCATGTTATGCCCAACGATTTAGACTTCCCGATATTGAAAAGAGACAACATTCTCAGGCTGATTTCCCTAATTTATTGGATTTTTGCTCAATTTCAAAGATTTCAAAAGTTGATTGAATATACATAGTGTTCGACCGGATACGTTGCAACTCGTCCCGCAGCTTTTTTTACGCCGGCATCATTCTGCTTTTGCTCGAACGCAGCATCAATGATTTACAGCGATGAGACGCTGCGGTGAGACGACTTTTAGCCGATACCCTCGATGTGAAGAATATTTTTGCTTTTCATGCTTTTTTCACTTTATGCATCAATGCTGATTTTTTTTGTGTGTCTTTTTGTATTGTGTTGAAAATTGGGTTTTAAACATAGTAAGGCTACAATTTTAAACAAGTGCCTAAATTAGTTTAGCTCCATTTTATACTATGCATAGATCTTTTAGAAAAAAACGCAAAAAAAATATTCGAAAAAAAATAGTAGCCGGATTCGAACCAAAAATAGAGCGCTAGAGATTCGCTAGAGAGCGCCCTAAATTCCAATGTAAAAACTTTGATGCCAAATATCTGACGATTGAGACGTCCGCAGGAAAAACTAAAAACGGATTCGGATTTCCCGTATCAAACTCTACCAGGATACCATTCTATAGGCTTAAACTCGACCTTAAGTTGGTGCCTCTCCCTAGTCAGAAAAATGTATTGAGGCTGAGTTAATATTGTAAAGCCCTAGACACGCGCACAGTGTACATACGTGCAATACAATTTTTCAATTTCAAGGGGCCCTCATGGTGTATTGGTTAAGTTCTCACTTCCAAACTGAGGGTGTGGGGTTCGGCCCCCCTAGGGTTCTCTTCCCTAGCCCGTGCCCAGACTAGAGGTCTCTTCTCTAGAGCTGACTAGAGATCCCTTCTCTAGCGGAGTTCACTCTTCCACTGGGTTGGCCCATTCATGGCCTGAGGTTATTAAAGCAAGAAGCTTATCTTCTATCTATCTTCTTTTCTCCCCGCCTCCACATCGCCGAGTAAAATATCTCATCTTTCTCTATGTATTTATGTGTAGATTTGTGTATTGTCTGACTGATTACGCTTTATTTCATGTCCTGAATAAAGTATGAATATATAGTTGGTGCCTCTCCCTAGTGAGTGAAAGCGAAGGTACGAGAAAATGAAAAGCTGATAAAACGATATGTTATTTGGTTTTATAATTGGGGCACACAAAAAAATTAATCTAAATAATTGTCGTGAAAAACTGTTCGTTTGCCTCATTCAACTGATAGTTACTTCTTCCAAAAAGAGACGGTGATTTTAAAATACCTTGATTGCTTTTGTCAAGTATACCATTCCCAGCTCTTTATCTCGCATAAAAGGCATCCAAATTTGAAACCGTGTCTTCTTCGTTTGCCCATTCATTCATTCTATAATCATTTCCTTTTTTCTTCTTTTTCTTCTTCAATATTTCCTGCCCTCAGGTCCCTCAGCCTCCCAACTCTCGAAAGAAGAAATGATAAGATAAAATGTATAAAACGGTGTCCCCTGGCCTCGAATCTTTCTCTCAATCAATGCTTACCTTCTCATTTATTCATTTCTGATTTCACTCTATTCCCTGGCTATATTGATTAGGTCGAAAATATATTGATTAGGTTGAAAACTAACATTTCAAAGTGTAGCCAAGCTTGCTTATCGATAGTTAGTGCAATAGAAAAGAAATTGAAAAATTCGTTTCACTTTTCTACACGATAATCGTTTCCCATTTTGCACTATCAGTGACGGTAAGCAAGTTTGGTGCAGCACAAAGTAAATTCCAATGTATTTGTGTTCCTTCAGTGTGTAAAAAGTAGAGAAAAGGTATCGTGGAAGACAGAGAAGGAAAGATGAATCATCGATGGGCATGGACATGCATTGGACATCCTCCATTCCATTCCATTCCATTCCATTCCATTCCATACCCTTCCCTTTCTTCTTTCTTTTCTCATTCACGGAAACTCTATCGATTATTCGTCGATCAACTCCAAATAATCATTAGAATTCTCTTGTTGATTTGAATTTTAAAACACATTCTCTCTAGTAGTTGTCTTTAAAGCTATTTTTACAAGTTACAAGTCCTCCTTTCATCCCTCCCATTTTCTTAGCTCAAATTCGCGTTGATCTAGAAAAGTGCGTAAAATCTTTTCCCAAACGATCGGTTGATATTATGCACATTTTCTAGGACATTGCGTTTGAGCGATAAAAAAAATTTGTGCCCCAGATTGTTTAACTTCTTTGATTTATTTTGAAGGATAACTGGACAAAGCTACCGTAGCAAAGCAAAGCTTCATTGCCCCCAAAATTGCCCCAAATTTGTGTGAGACCTCGAGGGAATTTGTTTGAACAGTGCAGGGGGGAAGAAAGCGATGATTAGTGATTAGATATCGTTCCCTTTCCTCCCTTCCATTCCATTCTTTTTTCTTTTCAAAGATGAGTCTGGGTGAGAGGCTCGAATCTTTCCACTGATAGCAAATTTTCTTTTTTTAGAGAAAATTTTATGATTTTTGCTTAAGAAATGTCAGCATTTATTCAAAAAGAGAAATAAATTCATTTCATATTTACAAATAGGTGGGGTTTTTTTGGTGAAAACAAATTGTACAGACAACCGGGAACACATCAAAATATTAAACCCATATCGAAAGCACGAGAGAAGACAAAAAAAAAGAGACTATAGTTATAGAATACTATGGAAACTAATCGATTTCTATAGATTTCTATAGATTTTTATAGATTTCTATAGATTTCTATAGATTCTATAGATCGAATCTTTTTTCTTAGATTCTCACAGTGAAGTATGGACCGGCTGGAGCGGCTGGAGCGGCGGGAGCTGGTGGTGGGGCCGGCTCTTCATTGTAAGCGGCTGGGGGTGCGGGTGGAGGCTTGTTGTGACGATTTGGAGTAGCATAGGCCAAGACAACACTGAAATTTTAGGTATTTTGCATTGATTTTTTTTTTTTTTGGAATTTCTACTTAAATCTTTAAACAACTGATCAACTGACCGTCCGTCTTTCTCGGTTTTGCAGATCAAATCCGAATAGAAATGAGCTTTCGATGCGAAATCGCCGACTCCAGTGATTGTCTCGAAATCGGTGCCGAATTTCTCTTGACATTTCTCCTGGAAAGCTTTTAAGCTTAGAAATTTGAAATTCTTGAGGTTAAGACGGGAATTGAATACATGACAATACTAAATACACTGTAGACGTCTTTTTCGAATTACTGTCTGGATTACGGTAGTCGAAAGACGTCTTTTTCAAATTACTAGGGGTAGGCTAGTTTCCGCAACAGGGTCATTTGCGCAACGCGCCATAGACTTTCTTCTAAGTCGGTCAATCTTTATGATTTTAGTGTCATTTTGTAGATCTCAATAAGTGCAACAAAATGACACTAGAAATCATAAAGATGGTCAATCTCGGTCGGTCAGACTTAGAAGAAAGTCTATGGCGAGTTGCGGGAAAAAAGTTGCGGAAACTAGCCTACCCCAATTACCGTCTGGATTACTGTAGTCGAAAGACGTCTTTTTCAAATTACTGTCTACTATCCAAATCAAATCTCTCACTTGCAATGAATTCGCAATCTTTTGTGTATTACAATTTTTCCATTCTCCTTGGTTCAAATCGTTGTACACCTGAAATCGATTGTTTTTTTAAACCAAATTTTTCAATTCTTACATCATCAATCACTTTTTCGAGTTCCTTATTGCAGCACATGTAACCTAAAGTTGAATTGTTTTGTTTTGTTTTATTTTATTTTATTTTTCAATCTCATGAACATACCGGCAGCATTTGTGTAGCATTGTGGAAGTGGGTATTTGGGTGTTGGAGGAGCTGGCTCTTCGTAACCAGTCTAGAAAAAAAAAATCGGTTACTATAACTGTAATACTATAGTGCTAGATCTGTTTGAATATTATTATCCTTACTGGAGCCGGAGCATAGTCTTGTGGAGCTGGAGCTGGAGCTGGAGCGTAGTCGTTTCCACCATAGGCTTGGCGTTTCAATGCTGAACCATTCGATTACATATCGATTTTTTAGCGCCAAAATCTTAGTGAAACTTGCCAGCTACAGTGCCATTTATATCTCTTTTCTACTGTTAGCTATTAGGGCTTTTATTGATTGTGAACTCACGAGCATTTCTGAGTGGTTGGACGAATGGTTGACGAACGTAGATCGGTTTGCCGAAGACAAACACTCGACCAACGGGAGTGTTATTTGGTGGAGACGAGAATTCGGACTAAATTTCCGAAAATATTGTTTAATCTTACAATAATCTCACCATTCTCTTTTCGCTTAATTTTGGTAAAGCGAATGTGAACGCGAAAAAGGCTAACGAATACAGTACTCGGCTCATTTCTGAAATGGAAAATGAATTGAAGAATGAGAGAAAATGATTTAAAAGAAATGATTTAAAAAGGAAATAAAGCAGCTGAAGACTTTTTCTATAGCTAGAGTGATTAGAAAATCGTGGCAACGTGGCAAGTTGTACGGGGAAAGTGGAAAGGAGGAAGAGCTGAGGAAGAGCTAAAGAAGAGCTAAAGAAGAGCTAAAGAAGGGCTAAAGCATTAGACAAGCTACAGTAACAGCAATCTATTGTATTCTATTGTGAGCTAAAACCCTTAAAAGTATTTGAAGTAAAGGAGGGAAGGAAAATGAAAATGAAAATGAAAATGAACATAAACCATTAGCTTCTCCATTTTTTCCTCTCCTAACTTAACTCCTCCCCATTTTTCCCTATTTTTTCATTCATTTTCTCTCAAGACACCAAAGCATGAAGGTCATCTTTTGAGAGAAAAAAAAAGAATTGGGTAAAAGAACCGGTAACACCAACAACACAAATACCTTTCTTTTTTTTTGTCATCTTTCTTTTAGCTTATGCACTTCATTTTTTCTTTCATTTACCCTACAAAGATTGCTCTTTGTTCTTGGCAGAATTTACCCTCATAGAACACTATTACAGTACTATGATTTAAGGGAATTCAAGTAGCCATAGCATAATAAAACTCTATTAAAACCAGAGTAACCAGAGTCCGTATGCTACGCTCGGGGAAAACTTTCGGCAGCGTCTCTGATCTTTCCGGTAAAAGATCCATGGTTTTCCCAAGGAGCGTACTTTTCTTTTAGAAAGTTTCCAGTAAAACTTCCCACCAAAACTTTCAGAGAAAAAGTACGCTCCTTGGGGAAAACCATGGACCTTTTAACCGGAAAGATCAGAGGCGCCACCAAAACTTTTCCCCGAGCGTAGCATACGGACTCTGGTTACTCTGGTTTTAATAGAGTTTTATTTATGCTATGGCTACTTGAATTCCCTTACATCCAGGCTCAGTAAGGCTCTGCACTATATTTAAAATTCTTAAAAAAATCTTTCATTACTAAAAAGAAGAAATATATGTTGTAATCTCTCTCCAGTATGCTGAAATGGTGATATTTATGTCCTGAAGTGTATAGCTGAATTCAAAACTCAAAATTTCATTGATTAGATTACTTTTGTCTCGATCGTTGCACCGAACGGCTTTCGATTTCAGAAAAGAGAAGGTCAAATGATCTTTTCTCTTTTTCACTTTCTCCAAAACAGAAAAAAAACAATGGTTGAAATTAAGGGAAAAGAATAAAAAAAGAGTACAATGGATAGAAGAAAAATAATGGGAAATTGAAAAAAAAAAAGAGAGAAATTGCTGAAAGGAAGGCTCATTCAAAAAGAGACAAAAATTTTCATTCTTGAAAGTGAATTTGCTTCATTTGAAATGCGAATTTTGTGCTGAATACAGTTTTTTTTTTGGTGAAACATTCACACCGATCTTTTTTTTTCTATTTTCGTTTCTCACCAATTCTTTGTGACTTTAAGCCCTAAGGCAACTGGTTTTCGAGTCGATTTGAGGAAAAGAAAAGAAAGAAAAGAAAAGAAAGAAAAGAAAAGAAAAAAAAAGAAAGAAAAGAAAAGAAAAAAAACAGAAAGCTGAGATTTGCCATTCAAAAAAAGGAAATAGAAAAATGGGATTTGAAACTGAAATTGTTTGAAGAGAGTGTTTTTTTAAAAGGTAATTTAATTTTAGATAAACTACTTACCGTAAATACTGTAATAGTACCCCCACCACCATAATGACGGTGCGGAGTGTTGCGTAGTCGAGCTTTGAACGAGTTTTTCTCGACACTGGTTTATGCTACAATGCGCGCTTAGGTATCAAAAAATAGCTGAAATTCAGGGCTATTTTTTGATACCAAAGACGTATTTTTTGAAAGTACGGGTGCTTTGCAAAAAAATGAAATACTAAAAACTAAAAAACTTTTGCGACTACGCGACTGTACGCGACTAGGGGTGGAGTACTATTACAGTATTTACGGTATGTGTATTTGCATAGCAAAAGCCTCTTGAAATTCTTCTAGCTTAACCCTGAAATCTTCGCTTTTCTCACCAAGATCCAACTCCATCACATCCATCAACAATATTGTACGAGGGGAGGATGCGGTACTATTACAGTATTTACGGTACCCCTTCTTCGCGGTATTCTTTTTCTTACAAAGTAGACTTTGTGCTTAAACTTGTAAATATTGGGTTGGTGAATTGAAAACTGCCGGCCTAACGTCGCGTACGCGTACGCGACTGTACGAGGGGAGTACTATTACAGTATTTACGGTAGTTGCATCTGATAGCTTAATTTTGAACAAATTCAATAAGGGGAATCACAAGGATTAGTCAATATGACAAAAAAATTGAGCTAATCAAAATGAAAAATGAAAATTCGCATTGTTTTTTAGAAAATCATGAAAGGATAAAAGTTGAGAATCACAAAAGTCAAAAAAAAAACCCAAAAATGATGATTTAAACTCGATGATTTCAATCTTTCATTTAAACACAAAACGAATAAACGAAGAACGGCTCGATCCATTCATTTTATACCTCAAAAATTTTCCCCTCCAAAAAACATAAAAAAAAAAACCTCTGTTTTCTCTCGTTTAATGTCAGTTTTTTTTCTGTGTGTAACATTGCACTGTCTACCTTTTGAGGAAAATGATTTAAAAAAGAAAAAGAAAAAGATCAACCTGACCCATTGTCTTTTTTTCATCATTTTCATCCCATTTTTTTTTCAACTTTTCAACTATTTTCTTCATTTTTCCCTTTTCAAATTTTTCCTAATTGGTGACAAAGGTTGAATGGAAAAAAAAGCAAAGAAAAGAAAAGCAAAGAAAAGCAAAGAAAAGCAAAGAAAAGAAAAGAAAAGAAAATAGGTTATGAAAGTGCCATCGAGACTAAAAAAACTCAATATTATCTATCAGATTCATCATTTTTCTTCCGCATTACAAAAAATGAGGGGAAAAAATGAGAATAATCTAGTGAATCTAGTGAAACGGTTTAGTTTTTATGAGTTTTCTTTGATTTTTGTGTACAAATGGATGAGATCAGATCCTGTTCAAGTTCAAATTCAATTCCTTTGTACCCTAAAGTCGCGAGTATAAGTTCTGTTTGGTTTTCGCATGCAAATTGACGGCTGTCTCCGGTGCGGTGTGTCGAGGGTTCGAACCCCGCTGCAGCATAACTTTTTTGCTTTTTAAGAGCAATAATAGAAGTAAATTTATTGAGGGTTATAGCAATTTTATGCTGTTATTTGTTGCTGTTATTTGTTGCTCCGGGCGTGGCTCGGCGCGTCCGCCCTGCTCCTCAGTCTTATGGATCCCTCCCTGGCCTCTTCATCCGGCCAAAGTCCACGTCGACGGTCGAAAGAGATGCTTTCCAGCGTCTTCTTCAACCCTATCGTCTGTATGTATCCATGCACATAACAAATAGCAATGGTGATAGGCTGTCACCCTGTAGTATCCCGCGCTCCAAGAACAATAATAAAAGTTTATGTAACAATAAAAATGTATAAAAGCCCAACAAAAAGAAATTCAAAGCAATTAAAGCGAATGTAAATTAAGGCAGAACTTATACTCGGATCAACTTATACTCGAGACTTTAGGGTACATTCAATTCGTACATTCGTACATTCGTATTGCTCTCTAATTGGACTCTAACTGCTCTAACTCTCTAACTGCTCTACCTATAATTGGACTAATGTACATTCAATTCATATATACATTCAATTCTTATGTACATTAGTCCAATTATAGGCGCAGATAAAAAGCTTTATAGGTAGACATGATTAAACCTTAGAGAGCAAAGTTTTCTTTTTTAAATCTTTATTTAATGCTAATGAACAACAAATGAACAATTAAATTCAAAGTGATCATCATTTTTTTTTTAGGTCGAGTACGCTGTGAAGAGTTTAGGAAAGGCGACCAAGCATCATCGAGTTCATCCCAGGCTTTCTGAAGAATTTCCTTCAAACTTTCAACATTTTTATGCGTATTTGAGCAGACTTTTTGCCTCAAGGATGTACTAGACAGAATAATTCATCGAAATGAGATCCAGCGATTCAAAAAGAGATGAAATCGGGAAACTTCACTTGGCAAAAATCTTAGATATTCTTGGCTTTGTAGGCCTCCGTCTTCCGTCTTCATAAAACATTTAAATTTGATTTTTAAAATCCTTTATCTACCTAGTGCAGCTTTAAGAAGATTGAGATAGTTAAAAAATAATAGATACCTATTATTCCTATAATAGATATCTATACTTAGATCTATACCTATACCTATACCTATATCTATACCTATATCTATACCTATATCTATACCTATATCTATACCCATATCTATACCTATACCTATACCTATCTCTCTACTCTACACCATGTACCTGTAACCCTAACTCTGTAAGGCGCCAAGTTTGACCATAATCTGGAAAAATTTCATTTACAAAGCCCTAACCTTACTCCAGTTTTGGTAAAGGAGTAATGAAGTAGATTCTAAAAGGGATAAAGCTCAAGAAAATGAACGCCCTTCTCCTCTCCCACCTTGACAGTTACTTTCACTCCAGAATCACAATGGGGAACTTTCTCCCTTTCACTGCGAGTTTTCTTCTTTCTCCTCATTTTTCCCACCTAAATAACACATCAAATTCAACTGTCGAAATTGTGCCTTTTTCTCTCTTCATTTCCCTTTTCTTTTTCTTCAAAAAAAAAAAAAAAATGCTTACGCTTGAGTGCACGACAATGATTTTACCGGTCATTTTACCTCAAGAAAAATAAAAAAAAATTAGGAAAAGAAGAAGGATATTCATTTAAAAGAATGAGAGAAAATTTGGTGTTATTTGAAGAGAGGAAAGGTATTTTGAAGTATTCAAATCGGAATCGAGAAATAAGGAAAACTTTAAAGAGTCGAGTAGGGAAAGTTGAACTTGATTTCTAAAGAATTGATTGAGCTCTTGGGTAGTTTGGGAGTTTGAAATGCTTATAACTTACTATGGAGACAGGAAATAGATTGTCTACTTTTGATAGAATTTAGAAGAAGAAAATTTCAAGCTTTTAAATGAGTGTAAATAGAACTGAATTGGAGAAGAAGAATGAAGTGAATGAAATGAAAAGAAGAATCAATGAAATTAATCAATGAAGTGACCCAACAACGACTTGTAACCATTCGATTTTCGGTCGATCGATCAAACGAAGCTCGATCAAATGAAGCTTGATCAAATGAAGCTTGATCAAATGAAGCTTGATCAAATGAAGCTTGATCAAATGAAGCTCAATCAAATGAAGCTTGATCAAATGAAGCTGAATCAAATGAAGCTCAATCAAATGAAGCTTGATCAAATGAAGCTCAATCAAATGAAGCTTGATCAAATCAAGCTTGATCAAATCAAGCTCAATCAAATGAAGCTTGATCAAATGAAGCTTGATCAAATGAAGCTCAATCAAATGAAGCTTGATCAAATGAAGCTCAATCAAATGAAGCTCAATCAAATGAAGCTTGATCAAATGAAGCTCAATCAAATGAAGCTTGATCAAATCAAGCTCAATCAAATGAAGCTTGATCAAATGAAGCTCAATCAAATCAAATCAAATCGATCAAATCAAGCTCTATTTGATCTCATTTGAAAGCCTGAAATGTGTTCTTTTAAAATATATCAAAAATTAGACGAATCTATTGTCTCTATAATAAGTTATAAACATTTACAGCTTATCTAATCATTCAAAAATCGATAACCATTAATTGGATTTGGATTTAACGGCAAAGCCTTCACTGCTTATTGAGACAAAAGAAATATCACAATCGTGATGCCCTTTTTTCTTTTCTTTCCTAGTAGCTACAAGGTATAAATTGTTCAGACTGAATACTTCATTTCTTTGTATCATCTATTCCCAATATTTCAATTTCTGAATTGAAAAAGCATCGAATTTCATCTGAACCCAGCTGCTTTCTCAATCCTTCACCAATCCAATTTCACTCACTTTTTCGTATTTACACGCAAAAAGGTGTCAATATATCAAGAAAAAAGCTAATAAAAAGTCGTTTCTATGGAAGATTTTTGTGGGATTTCTCTGAAAGAAAGATCAAAAGAAAAGAAAGAAACACTTGGTTCGTAATTATGAAAGAATTCTTTGAAGAAGAAGATGAGGAAGAAGAAGATGAGGAAGAAGAAGATGAGGAAGAAGAAGATGAGGAAGAAGAAGATGAGGAAGAAGAAGATGAGGAAGAAGAAGATGAGGAAGAAGAAGATGAGGAAGAAGAAGATGAGGAGGAGGAAGAAGAAGAAGAAGAAGATGAGGAAGAAGACAACGAAGAGACAAGGAATTCCATTTATTAAAGATTTCTTTCGATTCTTGGCTGTAGTGTAGAATGATGCCTAAAAGGTAGACCCGGGCTGATCTTTTCTTTCTCGTTTTGCACAACAATTCTCGATTTCTTTAGTCATTGATCCTAAAAGCTTTTAAAAGTAGTATTTCGCTATGAAAAGTATCTGTTCACGATGTTTCTCTCTTTCGAATTTCGCCGTTTCCCCGAGATACCCCATCGAAATCTTCCTGTTTTTCTAATATTCCCAAGAGAAAAAAATTTTTCATTATCATTTTCTTTTCGAACAGTCCTGTCCAGTATAGTCGAGTTTTTTAGTTTTAAATTACTAGTTACATTACAGCTGACAGCAGATTCCAGCAATTTAAGATTTAAGGTGTTCATGCCCGAATTTCCGCGTTTTCTCATTTTCTTTATATGAATGCTTAAGTGCTTAAGCGCATGCGTGAAACACAGCGCTCTTGAAAACGCAAAAAAAAAAAACAAAAAGATAAAAAGGCTTAGATTTGTTTCAGTAGGCAAATTTTACAAGAATATTATTTCCAACAATAGAGTTATACTTATTTTTCTATCAAGTGGCGTTTGTGGCTTCTTTCTTGGTCTCTTTCTTGATCTCTTTCTTGGCCTCTTGGCCTCTTTCTTAGCCTCTTTCTTGGCCTCTTTCTTAGCCTCTTTCTTGGCCTCTTTCTTAGCCTCTTTCTTGGCCTCTTTCTTAGCCTCTTGGCCTCTTTCTTAGCCTCTTTCTTGGCCTCTTTCCTTCTTGATTCTCTTTACAGTAATCCATCTTTTTTGATTGAGATCAAATCGACGTTTCTCCTCTTCTTCCAGGGCTTCACCGAAATGTGATTTCCGTCTTTATTTTCGAAAATTTATCAAACCAATCAAAAAAAAACCATACAATTTCTCATATGATCTAAAATTCTCACAAAATTTCAGCCAAAACTTCAGCCAAAATTTGCATCTGCTTCACGAGCTACTGTAAAAGCCCACCTGTTTCTACTATTTCTTCACTTATTCCCCCTTTCCCATTTCATCAAATGTCTATATATTATTTTCAAATGTCTTTACAATTATTTTCAAACCCCCATGCTTTTTCTCATTATTTAAACTCTTGTGGTGAAGAAAATTTTTAGATTTTTTTATTTCCCCAAAAATCCGAATCGAATGCGACAACAACTCATCGCTTTTGCCTCTTTCGTTTCAACTGGTATCCAATCTTTTAGATTATTCTATTTAATTCTATTTAATCCAATTTAAGAATACAATTCTTTCTTTTTTCAAGAACAAACAAGAACATTCACAGTTTTCTTTGAAAACCAAATTCGAATTGAATCGATTTCAAGTTGCGCTCGATGCCAACCTAAAAATCTTACAAAATTATTGAATAGAACAATTGAATAGAACAATTGAATAGAACAATTGAATAGAACAATTGAATAGAACATGTTAATCATTTCAATACGAGTTTTCAGTGACGACTCTGAAATGCATGCAGTGCACGGGATGGACATGGACATATCCCGGGACACAGGTTGAGAAAGATTCCGAAAAATTGAAATCAATGAATTCAGGCAAGTCCATGCGATAATATGAACAATCAATGCACGGCTGATAATAATAATATGTGTGTTAGGTGAGATTAAGCTTTACCATATCGAAATTTCCTTGAAATTTCTAGAACCACTGATCCGATGAGACCTGGAGCGAACTACGAAACGTTCAAATTGGACTGTTGGTGAGAAGAGTTTACAAAAAAAAGCGGAAAAGAAAAAGGAAACTGATTATTTTATCAAATCAACTCGAGGATTTACAAGTTTAACAATCAAAAGCTAAAATTCTAGGAGTGGCGGGTCGACAATTCAAGTGCTGCCAAATCAACCGCAACCTGTCGCTTCAGGACAATGCTTCAACACACAAGATGGATCGAATCCACCAAGAAGGTAGGAAAGGGTAAATATGAAAGATATCAAAGAGAAATATTTTAGATATATTTTATGTCTAGATAGTAAGTAGGATACGAAATAGAATGCTGAAGGAAAAGGAGAAAAATGGATAGAAATTGTGAAGAAATTGAGACAGTGGATAGAAATTGCTATGATAGAAATTGTTATAGAAATTAGTATTATAGAAATTGCTAATAGAAATTGCTATTACAGAAGTTGTTATAGAAATTAGTATTATAGAAAGTTCTATGATAGAAATTGCTAATAGAAATTGTTATTATCGAAATTGTTAAAGAAATTACTATTATAGAAAGTGCTATGATAGAAATTGCTATTATAGAAATTAGTATTATCGAAATTGTTAAAGAAATTACTATTATAGAAAGTGCTATGATAGAAATTTCTATGATAGAAATTGCTATGATAGAAATTGCTATTATAGAAATTTCTATTTCTAGAAATTACTATATCTATGTTTAAATCTCTAGATTTTCTTAAAAAGAATCTTGGTTTTTTTTTAGACAAAAAGTCTGTTTCTGCAACAATGCCGATTGGTGTAATGGAGTTGAAACAAAAAATTTCTTCATTTACTCTCTCATTTTTCTCATGGCTTTTTACTTCACTTTGTAAAGTTTCTTTCTTTTTTTTTAAAATAAGAAATAACATTTTGGTTCTATGAACTTTTGTGATGTGTTGAAAATTGTGTTAGTTTCTTTTTCTTTTGTGAAATAAATCTATTTAAAAGGAAATTCGGCAGGCAGTTGACGTTCTTTGCGCTCCGACGGAAACTAAATCGATCTGGCACACTGAAATCTCAATTTTTCTCGTAGCAGTTTGGTATCGCGAGAAAAATTGGGATTTCCGTGTGCCAGATCGATTTAGTTTCCGTCGGAGCGTAAAGAACGACAGAGTGAACTCATGTCTTGTACGTGGTCCTCACACATCATAAAAAATTGAGACTTCCGTGTGCCAGATCGATTTAGTTTCCGTCGGAGCGCAAAGAACGATTGACCGAACTCATCTCTTGTACGCAGTCCTCACACATCATGAAAAATTGGGATTTCTGTGTGCCAGATCGATTTAGTTTCCGTCGGAGCTCAAAGAACGACTGACCGATCTCTTGTACGCAGTCCTCACACATCATAAAAAATTGGGATTTCTGTGTGCCAGATCGATTTAGTTTCCGTCGGAGCTCAAAGAACGACTGACCGATCTCTTGTACGCAGTCCTCACACATCATAAAAAATTGGGATTTCTGTGTGCCAGATCGATTTAGTTTCCGTCGGAGCGTAAAGAACGACAGAGCGAACTCATGTCTTGTGCGCCGTCCTCACACATCATTATGTACCGACTTTCATACACTTCAACAATACATTCAGGGTCACCAATTTGTTGGACATCATTTATTGTTAGGTACTCATCCCTGGTAGATTTGTTGAGAGATTCAGATTCATTTACAACAACCAGTTTATAATCCCTAAGTATCGGAAATTCTTTTTTTAGCATAAAGAAATCAAACAAAGAGAAAGAGAAGGTGAGAAGAAGCAAATAAATCACTTTTTTTTGGGGGGAAGGGGAAGATTTAAAATTTGGAAAGAAAACAAAAAACAATTGTTGTTAACTTGTTGTTTGTTGTTTGTAAACAATTGTTTACTTGTTTATTCAAAAAAATCTAAATCTACAAGCAGGCTATGGTCAGAATAAAATCAATTAAACGCATTTCCAAACTCGGAAAACAAATATATAACAAATTTGTAAAGTTTCAGACCGAATTCTCAGCATGTTAGCCAATTGATTACTTAAAAATTCGTTTTATTTTAATCAGTTCAAGAAAAAAAAAATGGCCAATATTTGCTGAAAAAGGCGATTGAATCGGGGAGAAATTTGTTTGGAAGCTGAAGGGAAGGGGAATAAGCCCATTGAAGTGGTTCGCCCGTTGTTCGGGAGGAGCGACGATCCCTTCCTCGACTTTTTCCTTACCCCAATCTATTTATAGTTTCCCTCAAATAACCTCCTTTTTCCTCATTCATTCATTCATTCATTCATTTCATTCATTTCATTGTTTTCTTCCCTTCAAAATGCTCAGGTGAGTTTTCTAGATATAATTTAAAAATGAATTTTTCTAGAGCTTTGATATTCCTACCGCTGGCTTTTGCGCAATTCGGGAATACGAATCTCGGTGGATCGGTTGGATGTGTGGTGACGGTGAGGATTATTGTTTAACAGTATATTGTTCAACAGTATATTGTTGAACAGTATATTGTTTAACAGTATATTGTTTAACAGTATATTGTTTAACAGTACACTACTGGAAAATGAAATATGATATTTGAAAAAAGATCGTCACTTTCGCGCGTCTGTAACTGCTTGTCTTTACCGTATTTCTAAATATTAATATTACCATTGTGTAGCCCTTGAAAAGAGCTTTCAGAAAATGTAGAACACTAATAGTTTAAACTCAAAAGGATTTACAGACGCGCGAAAGTGGCGATCGTTTTTCAAATGTGATATTTCATTGTCCAGTACTGTATATTGTTTAACAGTATATTCTTCAACAGGATATTGTTCAACAGTATACTCTTCAACAGTATACTCTTCAACAGTATATTGTTCAACAGTATATTCTTCAACAGTATATTGTTCAACAGCATTTTCTTCAACAGCTACTAGCAAATTTTTGAATCTAATCAAACTTTCCAGAAAAACAAGCTGTTCTCAAGCGGGAATTACATCCGAGATCTGAGCGAACCTGAAGTGAAAACCCTCATTCAATACAAAAAAGATTTGAGCGTCTTCAGAAAAGTTTCTTTTTTTAAAAAACTCTACAAAATTCATTTGATTTAGAAAATCGCTGACGCTTTTGATAATGTTGAGAATATTGAGAATAGTCCTTTAAAGGTTTGATTTGAGTGGAAGGATTTCGTGAGTACTTTTTCCTTTTTTAGAACTCAACAATTCCTCCAATGCCTATCCGTCCATCAATGCCTTCATTTTGTATTGGAGCTGACACAACGATGTATATTTTTGCGGGATGCAGTGTTCAGGTTTAACCAAAAAAAACTATTTCCTAAACTTAATCATTAAAAAAATCATGTTTAGAATTATAAAGTTTACATTGGAAAGACTTTTGCAAGGAATCTTGATCAGAAAGAACGAGGGAAATTGGATAAATTCATTCGACAAATGAAAGAAAATGAAAGCAAAGCGGCAAAGGTAAAAAAAGAATGGAGAGAATGGAGAGATTGGAGAGATTGGAGAGATTGGAAAGGTTGGAAGGATTGACATTGAATTGACAATGATGTCACTTGAGTTTCCCCTATAAAAATGAGCATTTCAGGATCAAAATTCGACTCCGACCGCTCTCCAAAAAGATCTCGATTTATGTATGGAACTTTGAGATTCCTTTCTTTTTTTTAAACATTGATCTCAACTTTATTCATTTCATTTAAAACAATCATTTCCTCGATTTCATTCAAATATGATTGGGTACGCTTTTTGTTTCCTAAAAGAATGAAAATCAATTTCCTAAAAGAATGAAAATCAATTTCCTAAAAGAATGAAAATCAATTTCCTAAAAGAATGAAAATCAATTTCCTAAAAGAATGAAAATCAATTTCCTAAATAAATTCTCATCAATTCTCATCAATTCTCATCAATTCTCAAAGTAAATTACATGTATTTTGTGGTGATGAGTTGATTTGCTTGACTCAACACTTGAGTGGACATTGAAGAACAACTTTCATTTAGTGGAGTTGTGAGGAGAACGTTCATTAGAAGATCTGCAAAATGATTAGAGAGTGCTAAAGGATTTTGCTTTCGCATTTTCTTATTCAAGATGTTAATAGAGTTAGTTGAAAGGTTTTAAGAGACAGAACAGTTTAGCAAGGTGGTTTGAGCTTTGACTGGCTAGAACTCTAATTCTACCAGATTGATCAAAATCGGGAATTCTTAGAAATTTCTATATCACTTACTGTAATCACAATAGTTCATTGTCATTGGACGATTGTTTTGCACTTGAAGATCTTGTTGAAATTGAGCCGATGCAAGCGATTGAGTCTTTGCGAGAGCGATCATTGATGGAGGGGCATAGAGGGGCTAAAAAAGAAGATCAAAGAAAAAAGATGAAAGGAAAAAGATGAAAAGCTATTCAAGCAAGAGACTGACAGTCGATTGTGTCACATAAATGACATTCAACTTCGGGAGATTCATCACAATCGAATCGGACAACCAATTCTCGTCTAAATTTCTGTGTGTTTTTTTGAGCTAAAAGAACTATGGTATACAAAAAAAAAGTGATTAAGCGAATGAAATCGAAAGCTTGTACCTTGCAACGGGTTTAAACTAGCTCTTAAAATAGAGATATCCGTGAGATTCTCGATTCCAAGTCCGTCCAACGATTGCAAATTCAAGCCTCCGATAGATAAACCCTAAAATTTTGAAATCTTTCGAACTTTTTCCCAAACTAGTAAAAAAGTAAAAAACTTTTAGTAAAAAAAATACTAGATTTCAAGGGCTATCATTTGACACCAAAACGTACATTGTAGCATAAAGTAGCGCGGAGAACGAAGCGTGTAAAGTGTGCTTAAGCTTTTCTCAAGTCTAATAAAGATATTCAGTCTTGTTGTCTGAGTATTCATTAAAGACTTTCCAAAACACTTACAACCAAATTCTCAAATGACACAAAATAATCTTGAGTGAGATTGATTTGTGTTTGCAGCATTATCTCGAATATCATCAAGTTAGACTACGTGATTGTACGCTCATCATTATGAGAGTGGCGTTCTATGAGAGTGGCGCTCTATTAGAGTATTTATGCTTAAGCTTTTCTCAAGTCTAATAAAGATATTCAGTCTTGTTGTCTGAGTATTCATTAAGGACTTTCCAAAAACACTTACAATCAAATTCTCAAATGGCACAAAATAATCTTGTGTGAGATTGATTTTTGTTTGCAGCATCATCTCGAATATCATCATTTTCTCGGGATTCGGCAAATGGTCCGGGGTGAAAGTTTGAATTCGCTAAAAAAAAACAAAGAGCATTTCATAAATTTTGCGGAGATTTCTATTCTATTCGCTGAACCGTTTCATTCGCATCATTCCCATATGCTCGACAACTTTCAGTCGATGAAACCACTTCCAACCAGGACATTGTGCCGCCTGTTGCCCAAAATGACCCATAAGGATATTGTCTACAAAAAATTGTAATTGAGTAATGAAATCAAAATAAAAGCCACCTCCCAATATCGAGAGTTCTCAATTGAGTGAGTGGAGCTAAAAGCTCGGCATCGAGAGATCCAAGATTGTTTCCGCCAAGTTGAAGAAAAAGGAGATCTATTGAAAGAATGAATGAAAAATCGAAAATCGAAAAAAAGAAAATCGAATACTTGGTGTTGATTTGAAGAAATCGTTTGGAAGAGATTCGAATGGATTACAGGATAAATCCAATGAGATTAGAGATGATGTGGTGACAAGAGGAGAATTCAGAGTTTTCAGATTGCATCTAGAGAGATATTAGATAAGGAATTCGCATTTTTGTACCATTAGAGTCACGATTTGGCAGCTAAGTTTTGTGCTCAAGGAAAAACTATTCGTACGGATTGGGGTGCAAGTCAAAATCTACCATACCTAGGCAAGAAAAGATGTTCCAAGGGAAGATCGGCGATCAACTCTAAACCGGTCAATGAGGCAACTGCATTGTCGTTGTCGATTTGGAGATATTGGAGATTTTTCTGCTTTTGAACCCATGATGGAATTGTCGCTATTTTCGATTTATAGAAACGGAGAGCCTAAAAAATGAAGAGATTTAAAGATTTGGAGGAATTTGCACTTTCAATGAGGTCGTCTGATAGATGAGCCCATCCGGGAAAGCGACTGACTCGAAACTGATCTGAAATTTCAATATAGACAGTGATGGAAAAAGTATTGAACCCCTTTTTCTTTTTACTTTCTTCTCCTTCTACATTTTTTTTCTTATACTATTTTCTTTAGTGATCGTTGACGAACGGGATATCGACACGCCGACAAAGGAGAAGATTGTTCCAGGGATCAAACAGAAGATGGTCAAAAGACTGTCTCAAGAGGCTGTGGAAACAATTTCGTGAGGAGGGAAACGTGCACGGGAAATTGAGAAGTGATTGCCCATCAAAAACTACGGAGCAAAAGAATCGAACCCTTTAGAAGTATCACGTTTTGACTCTCACTGCCACTCTCACTGCCACCGATGGAAAGAAGTTTCTGAAGGATAAGTTCAACGTCAATGTAACAGCGAGTCTACTTTGCTTTGGAGCATCAACACTGGATAATTGAGACTTGGAATCGACACGCCGACAAAGGAGCACATCGTTCGAGGGATCAAACAGAAGATGGTCAAAAGACTGTCTCAAGAGGCTGTGGAAACAATTTCGTGAGGAGGGAAATGTGCACGGGAAATTGAGAAGTGATTGCCCATCAAAAACTACGGAGCAAAAGAATCGAACCCTTTAGAAGTATCACGTTTTGACGCCCACTCTCACTGCCATCGATGGAAAGAAGTTTCTGAAGAACAAGTTTAATGTCAATGTAACAGCGAGAAAATGAGGAATCAACTTAAAACGTTTGGATTATACTCGAGAAGGCCGCCACGAAAGCTGTTAAAGATTCAACGGCATCGAATGTCACCAATGGAAAGAAGTTTCTAAAGAACAAGTTTAATGTCAATGTAACAGCGAGTCTACAATTCGCTTTGGAGCATCAACACTGGATAATTGAGACTTGGAAGCACGTGCTTTACAACAATATTCAATATTTGCAACTCAAATGGTCTCTATTTGATCAAAAGATCGATTGGAACACGATACAAGTTGAAGTGCACCATTCTGACCGTGAAATTGAATGGAGACGGAATTTGTTGGGGATGTCTCTCAGCACAGTCGATCGGGCCTCTCGTTCTTATCGACGGAATTATAGATGGACTCAAATATGCTAAAATATTAACGGAATCAATGCTCCCTCACGCTAGTAAAAATATAGCTTCGGCTCTTTCAACAAGACAACGACCCAAAACACACAAGCGGTTTGATGATGAACCGAAAAGCGAACATATCAAATCGACGTTTTTTTTTTTGTCTTCTTGACTGGTTAATGACATTTATCTGCTTCTCCTGATTGCAATCCTATTCAGCATTGATGGCCCGACGTAAAACAAAATTTGAGAGAACATCATCTTTCTTAAAGAAAGATCTTTGAGAGTTCAAAAGATTTGGCATGGAATTGAGCAGCCACCAACGTCTATTACGAACGTCTACTACGAACGAATTGATCGGAAGTATGCTGAGACCATTGTATGTATGGGATGCAATGATTAAAACCCAAGATGACTCAGCAAAATATGATTACCTTGATTACGGTGATGAAAATAAGTGTCTTTTCAGAAAAGATCGAAAGATCTCTTTAGATTTCCAATCCACTCACCACTTTCCATTCTCTGGTTGTCGTCAAATTGAAGATATTTGTCATATCTTGTTGAAATGAATAAATTGCCGGTATCACATAAAGCTAAAAAATCGATTTCTTCGAGAGAATTAAAGAAAGATTTAAAGTTGAAAAACCTCTTCAATAGTGGGCACATTATCGAGAAGATATTTAATCGTTAAAGAAAATGCCGTCTCATTGTCGAATTGATTGTAAAGCTGTAGAAGAAAGAAAAAAGAATGCGTGAATCTAAGGAAAATCTAAGGAAAAAGACCGCAAACCTGAATCCCTTTCCACGGAAATGAGGCCAAATATTTGAGAGCTGAATCGGGGATTCCATCCGAAACACCCAAAACGGCTTGCTGAAGTCGACAAAAATCAAGATTTTCCTTTTTTTCAATAATTTCAATGTTAATTAATGTTTTCAATTTATCATTTATACTTTCATTTATACTTTCATTTATACTTTCAAAGTACCGCCTCCCTCCTAGTCTCTCCCTTGCCATTGGCAATGGCATTTTGCTATTTTCTCGCTATCTACTGCTTCAATTTTTATGATTTTCCTGTCATTTGATGCGTAACTTAATTCTCCATCGAACCCTACGAAAATCATAAAAATTGTTTCAATAGATAATGAGAAAATGGCAAAATACAATTGCCAATGGAAAGGGAGAGACTAGAGGAGCGGTACTCTGAAAGTACTTCATCATTCAACCTGCGCGAAACTGTAATTGTGCATCGGCAGATTGAGATCATCACAATTTGTCGTCTCGACAGTTGATGGATTTAGCGGACCCCAGACCATCGGTGGACGGCGAATTCCACAAGTGATTGAACCTGAGAGATTTCATTGAAAACAAATGATTATGTCAAGTGAAATGATTATGTCAAGCCAACAAAAACAAATGATTATGTCAAGCCAAGCATTACCAAATATTCGATTTCTTTCTTTCTTTCTTTCTTTCTTTCTTTCTTTCTTTCTTTCTTTCTTTCTTTCTTTATCCATTCAGTAAATTCTCTATGACATACCCGTGAATGCGACTTGATGTATACAGCCTGGAGCACAATAATTCGGCAAAAATTGTCCACTCTTGTAAACATCGGCATTCATCCAACCATAACTGAATAACTCTTTTTATATAAATATAAAAAGAAGTCTTTTATGTCTTTGAAGTCTTTTATGCTAAACATACCGCTGTTTTGTCGCAAAATCAGTGCATATGAATGGAAAAGACGTGAGACTGAACTGTTGACTGTCCACTGGAACCTCATAGTTCGCATAAGTGGCACTGAATTTCATCTGTTTTAAAGTTTTAAAGAGAATTTTGTTTTCAATAGATTAAAAGAGATGGATATTTTCTAAAGTTGTTTCTAAAGTTTCTAAAGTTTCTATATTTCTAAATTTACTTTTTCTTTTCTCGACTCACCCATAAATATTACCCTTGAAGACTCGAAATGATTCTCGACATTGTGGAATGGCCAGCGTTGAATCGCACAAATCAAAAAAGGGCAAAAGAAAAACGAAACTAAGAAAGAAGTTTTGAAAAACAAATTTCAATCTTTATAATGTTTCTTTTACTTTCTTCAGAACTCACCTTAAGCCCAAAAATGTGACCATTTGAGGCTTGGACGTTCGTGTTACCTACAATCAAAGGGCTTTAATCTGTTGAAAGTTTTGAATGAATAGTATTGATTTAAAGATCTATAATTTTCTTTTCCAAAGAATCCCCAAAATGTTCAAAAAATATAGTCGAAGTTGGGGGGAAAAATCCCTTCCAAAAAATTTGGGCATAGTGACGACGCAAAGTCGTCAGTCACTGAGTGCTTCTTCCGCTTTACAGATACGAAAAGGGAAGCACCTTGTACCAGAGCCCTATGCTAGATGGTGAGCGATTGTGGGCACGCACCGAGAACACATTGTCAGTCATTTACATAAGGATTTGTCTTTTGCTTCATAGATGGTTTAAAAAGAGAAATTCAGCTGTAAATTTGTACCCAGGGATTTTCGGGGACGGGGAATCGATTGGAATTATTCATTTTCTCTAGATTCTTCTCTATATTGTCTAGCTCAAACTCTATTTTATATCATTCAAAATCATGAATTCTTCTCGTTAAAACTATAAAAGCTGATCTCTATTATCTGTAGAGAAAATTATGGGACTTTAAAGCAGTACGATTCAATTAAAAAGTCTTCTTAACAAACTAATAGTAAAGACAAATATGTTACAAACAAACTAAGCCAAATAAATAAAGCTAAAAATAATATATTATTTAAGCAGATTTTTCTAGATAGTGAACTGAAAATGAGGAAAAAAAAAAAGTGTGTTTATCGAAAAATCTGAGGATACAGTAGAGAACTCGTGACAAAAAAAAGGGAAAATGAAAAGGAAAAGACTAATTTCCGGGCTAAAAAATGAAAGGAAAGATGAAAATTAGTGACAAAATTACGGTACTAAAGGGAGACGATTTAGAAAAAGAATTAAATAAGAGACACAAAAGATAGCTAGCGATTCTAGCGAAGCACTTTAAAGTCACAAGATGATTACGGTATATTAATGTCAAAGCAAAAAAAACCTATTTAGCGTTTAGGTAGAATCGAAAAAATTCAAAAATCAAGATCGTTTACTTTGAAATTGTTTCATGAAAAATGATTGAAAGTCTTTCAATCTTTTCATAACAAAAGATTCCCTAATTGTGACAAATTTCCTTTAAGCATTTCATTTCTTCAATGCTTCAAGATCAATTGAAACACGTTTTGTAGCCTATTTTATAGAGGAGATTTACGACTTTACACTTTATAGAGGAGATTTGCAACTTTACACTTTATAGAGGAGATTTACAACTTTACACTTTATAGAGGAGATTTACAACTTTCAAATAGTTGATAACATTCATCGATATCAGATTTCTATCATTGGAAAGATATGAAAATGTTCAAATTCGCATTTCTTATGCATCTACCTAATAGATTAGTAAGTTATCTAAAAAAATCGGTTTTTTGACAGCCAGTTTTGAGGGTTTAAAACTTACGCTCTTTCTGTAAATGCATTTCTGTAATGCATTAATGCGAGTGACCAAAAAAGGGCACTTTTTGAAAACCCCACTTTCACAAGAGTTCTGTTTTGACTATCTAGTGGAAAATGAGCGCCCGAAAATCATTATCCTAAAAATATCATTCAAAAATAATTAAGAGTTGGGATCATTTCATGGGAAAACTTTATTTTTACAATCATTTTTCTTTTTTGTGAAAAAGCCGGTTTTGAGGGTTTAAAACTTACGCTCTATCTAAAGTTCTGTCAATGCATTTCCGTTTGACTTTTTTAATCAATTCATATATAGTTATCCATTTTTTTTTTAAAAATCTTTAATTTTGGGAAGCTAACTCTATTTTGAACACACTAAACTTGTCCCTAAAGTGACTCGATTCCTTTTTTGGTCACTCGCATTTCGCTCTCGAAATTTCTTCAATGCTTCGATCAATTGAAACACATTTTGTAGCCCATTTTATAGAGGAGATGGATAAGAAAAACTTTCATAGCTTTCAAATAGTTTATAACATTCATCGATATCAGATTTCTATCATTGAAAAGATATGAAAATGTACAAATCCGCATTTCTTATGCATCCACCTAATAGAATCAAAAAAAAAAAATTCAAAAATCAAGATTGTTTACTTTCAAAATGTTCGATTCAAATTCTTCCAATCTTTTCATAACAATTGACTTGTTATGAAAAGATTCTCTAATTGACAAAGGGACACATTTCCTTTAAACCTTTACCCCCATTTTTTTTTTTTTTGATCTAATCTCGAGTTTCCCATTTTGGTAACACTTTTCTCGATCTAATTTCCTTTTTCAACAATACATCATTTTCTATTTTTATAATAAAAAAAAGAAATTTGAAAATTTCAATCGGAAATTACTAATATCCTTTGACGAAAGTCGAATTATTTTCTAAATTTTCCAAAAAAAAACAAAAAAATGAAGCTATTTCTATTTTCGGTTTCACTAATTTTAAGTCAATTTTGGGTTTTTTTTTCTTTTTTTTTTTTGATGAGAACGATTCTATTTTTTCGTTTTTTTTTCTTTTCTACCAGATTTCCTTTTCTTCATTTCGATAAACCATCTTTTCTTGAGTTTTCTTGAGCTCATTCAATCAATCTGAATATTCAAATAATAAATAAGCTCTTCCAGTTAGGGAGTGGGACAAATGCGACGTTTTTTTGCGCACGCTGAATATCTTTAAATTTGAAGGGAATTTCCCGACAAAATCGCTTAAACGGCTGAATATCTTTAAAAGGAGTGGTATATAAGTCAGTGTTCGTGCTTTCTTCGCCAATCATCGGGAGTGGGACAAAATGCAAGCTTTTTTTTGCGCACCCGGACATTTGCGCACCTTTTTTCCCGCACTTAGCCCATTAGCGCACCTTTTTTCACGTTTTAAAAAAGCTCTAAAAGCTAATATTAACCAATTTCTATTTCAAAAGTTGTTTTTCTAGATAATTTTAGGGCGTAGAATCGAAATTTTGACATATCAGAGCTTGTGGAAACAAACGGACGGAGTTATACAAAGAGAAAAATCGACAATTTTATAATTTGACCATTTCTGTAATTTGATCTAGCCGTTTTGTCTTTCAAATTGGTTCCACACGCTCTGTTATGTCAAAATTTCGAGTCTACGCCCTAAAATTACCTAGAAAAACAACTTTTGGAATAGAAATTCGTTAATATTAGCTTTTTAGAGCTTTTTAAAACGCGAAAAAAGGGGCGCTAATGGGCAAGGTGCGCGAAAAAAGGTGCGCAAATGTCCGGGTGCGCAAAGAAAAGGTCGCATTTGTCCCACTCCCTCGAAATTTGCTCATCTTCCCCGAAAAGACTACTGTAAATCGTCGATTTTCGTTTAATTTCCGTAGCTGAACTTTTTCTGAAAAACCTCATGATTTCCTTGACGGGAAATCAGTGATTTCCTCAAGTTTTTTCCTTTTATCCAGAACGTTTACTCAAAATTTAATACACAAAAACATTTTGATAAATTAAACTGAAATTTTCTAGGTAGTTGTCGATTTCTTTTCCCCATAAAATCTTATCCTAAGTAAAAGAAAAAGAGTTCTAAACGATCGTGAAATGTTTGCAGTTACCGTAAATACTGTAATAGTACCCCCCCCCCCCCTCGTACAGTCGCGTAGGCGGAAAAGTTTTTTAGTATTTCATTTTTTTTCAAAGCGCCCGTACTTTCAAAAAATGCGTCTTTGGTATCAAAAAATAGCTGAAGTTCAGGGCTATTTTTTGATACCTAAGCGCGCATTGTAGCATAAACAAGTGTCGAGAAAAACTCGTTCAAAGCTAGACTACGCTCCAAAGCTAGACTACGCTCCAAAGCTAGACTACGCTCCAAAGCTAGACTACGCTCCAAAGCTAGACTACGCTCCAAAGCTAGACTACGCTCCAAAGCTAGACTACGCTCCAAAGCTAGACTACGCCCCAAAGCCAGACTACGCCCAAGCTAGACTACGCTCCAAGCTAGACTACGCCCAAAGCTACGCCCAAAGCTAGACTACCCCAAAGCTAGACTACGCCCAAAGCTAGACTACGCCCAATGACTACGCTCCAAAGCAGACTACCCAAAAGCTACGCCCAAGCCAGACCGCCCAAGCCGAGCCCAAGCTAGACTACGCTCCAAAGCTAGACTACGCTCCAAAGCTAGACTACGCTCCAAAGCTAGACTACGCAATGCTCCGCACCGTCATTATGGGGGTGGGGTACTATTACAGTATTTACGGTAAGTATGCTTGACTGTTGTTGGCAGAAATCGATCGATAAACGGGGGTTCTTGCCGAATTTCTATGCGCCAAATTTTGGAATTTGAATGTAAAGTTTTTGCTGAAATTTTCTGGGGAAAACTATCGACAACTATCGTTTTCTAATAACTAATCACAAAGCTTTCAAGGTTATTTCATCGACTTCAACGGGTTTTTTGCTGTAGTTCAAAATGGATTCAAAATGGATGCTCGGATTATTTGTTTTTTTCATGGCGGGACAACGGAAATCGCTTGTTCAATCTGGATCCGTGCAGACGGACGGAAAGAAATTGCAGACACCGTTTACACGTTCGATTTTCAGCAATTCACAATTCAGCAATTGAAATAAGCAAACAGAAATGATCACAATTTCGGTGATAAATGTAAAAGTTTACTTCAGTTGCTGTCCTTGGACCGGCGACTTGTCTCGATGGATCGTGCAATGATGGGGGTTGGCCTGAAATATTGCTTTCAATGCTTCAATGCTGAACTCCTTTCAGGATTGCGATATGTGATGTCTGCACTGTCGCTCGCCTCACAATATGTCACTCTAAACTCGAATCAAACGAATGAAATGTGAGCGAGTGAAAACTTGTGAAGATTTCATTTCTTTAAGCTCAAACTCTTCGTCGCTCAAATTCTTTGCCGATTTCCGGCCAATTGTCATCGATAATCTCAATCAGAATCCGGTGGCTGCGGCATCGACGGCGAGTAGACTCAAAAATGTGGGTGATAAAAACATAAAGCTACAATAGTTATTCTAACTAATTTTATGGTAGATATAGGTGATAAATTCTATTATCTACTATATGCTTTAACTTTGAATGCATAAGGTTTGAAATGTTTTAGTGCAAAATTCATTACGATTTACGGTATGCTATGATGGATTTTAGATCGTTTCCCATAATTTCAGGTAACCGCAATTTATGGATTGACACAGAATTGCGATGTGGAGACTGCAGTGACGGGTTTCTATGAAAAGATGACAATTGTTGATGTTTGTTTTAAACTGAAAGGGTTCTCAATAAAGTAAACATGATAGAATTGTGGCTACAATCAGCAGCTGATGGTCGGCTTCCCGACAACTTCGGTTTTCCTCTCGGCTTCACCAGGGTACTATATAGAAAATGGAGATTATCTTTATAAAATTGTTGTTATTGTTGAACAATCAACAACAATCATTATTGTTGAACAATCATTATTTAATCATTACTTAATTAAAGTCTCTCCGGGAATGCTTTATCTGTTCTGATTTCTCAATTCGGATGGTCGCATATTGGTTTGATTTCACCGCTTTTCCTTTCAACTTTCGATTCAAATGTTCGCGATGAGGCAAGCGGTAAGCAAAAAAAAAGGGTTATTGTAAGAATATATCCATGATTATCCATGATTATCCATGATTATCCATGATTTAGCCGCTCTTATCAATTGTGGAGTGAGCATTTTGTTGGATTCTCGTTACGATGTGACTGCGAATCATAATTACACTCTCACAAAAGTCTCACAAGATGTACAAGCAGCTAGGGGTATTTTGAAATTTTGAAAATGAAAGATGATGCAAGAAGATGCAAGAAGGAAGCAGGCTACTGTAGCTCGGCATTGTCGCAATACCGTAATCCTTTTCAGTCTTTGTCGGCATCGATCCAACGGGCACTGTTTGCAGAAACTTTTTGCTTAGTTTAGCGCAACTTGGTGAGAAACAAGAATTGATAAAAATAGTAATTTGAAAAAGGACTCCACTCAACCGGGCAATATTTCCTCATTTGCTCATTGTCGTACAACGAAGTGAGAGAATGGATCGATACAGCACAAAATGCGACCAATTTGGGCAACAATGACTGTATGATTTGCAATTCAATTATGAGAAAAACCTTTTTTCTTCATTTCAGTTACAAACTACAATGTCACCGATGCGGATATGGATTTGGTGCTGAGGTTTGGATGGATGAGATTGGGTAAATGAGCAGAGATTCTTGTCTAGAAACGCTTTGTTTTTCACTGATGGACCACCGCCTGGATATGCGGATAAAGGATGGGAGAATTATATGAATGAGGGAAATGATTGGATTCAAACAAATTATGGGATGAATGATGGGGTAAGCGATAGGGATTGATTTGGGATCGCTGGAGTGATCGCTGGAGTCAATCGTACTCTTGTGGTTCTCAAATGAAGCTATACTCTTTTTCAGCCAACATATTGGGATCGTTTCTCTCGGGTCTACGATGCGGCGAAAGTTTGGATGATGGTTGGAGCGGGAATGTTAGATTACAGTCAAGATATCTCAAATGGATCAATAATCGTACAATACATGGCGAATCGAGCATTTATAAGTAAGAAAAAAGAAATCGAGCATTTCGAAGTCGTATTTCTTGACTTCTTGACTAACTTTCATTTCATGATTTCAAGGCATCACTGGTGCACCCGATTTAATCAACTATTATGGTTTTGTGAGTGGATCGGCTACAATCTATCGAGTTGCCAATTTCACTGATGTATGAGCAGAAATCTTTTGTGCAATTCTCGATTGTCTATTTAGGGCTCAAATTCAACAACTTGGGGCTTCTGGGCAGCTGGAAGAGTGACAATCGATCAAACGAATACAACGAACTGGGTTAGGAACAAACAAAACAAACAAACAAACAAACAAAAAAACAAACAAACAAAAAAAACAAAACAAAACCCCCATCAAATCAATGTAATTCTTTAGCTAGCTACCGATATTAAACCCCTCTCATGGACACCAAAATGGATATCCGGTGGTCCACCACTTGATGTACCTGCTTGTGGATTCCATAATGAGCTCTGCATGCAGGTTTGCTAACCATCACACTTATCACTCATTCATTTGCAGCCTCGAGACCGTCTCTTCATCATTCTTTCCTGTGCTTCAATTGTGGTCGTTTGTATTCTCATCTCGATCGCCGCTGTACTCTATCGGTAAACGCCTAATCATCTAGTGGACGGGAATGTTCTTCATTTAGTCGTTATCGTTTCGAGCGTCGTCTTCACTCGCTTTCATTTCTCATCGATCGTCGAGATATCATTTTGAAGAAACACGTGAATATTCTCTCAACGAGAAGTATTCGATCAATTCACGATATGAGAGATTCGTTTGTTGGGGTCATTTTTTGTGATTATTTGATTAGAAAATAACAATTTCTAAAGTCAACTACCGTATTCAGCACGATGCCAAGGGTAGCCATTTTCTTATTGGCGATTTCGCGCAAAATTTCCGCAGAGGATCGAATTTTTCAAGGGTTTTCAAATATCAACATTACATTTGTAAGCGAACTTTTTAGGGAAGCATGGTTGGACCAGCGCCAATGGACGGATTTGGGGAAATTCTCGATGCAGGACCGATAAAAGAAGGAGATGATCCATTGGATGCAAGATGGAATAATGTAAAGGAAAAGAAAGGGGACAAGATTTAACAGTTGGTCGAAGAGAGTCAAGTCAAAGTCAAGCCTTGGCTGACTTTGGTGATCTACAGACCTAATTAAAATAACCCTTGACTTGATAAAAACATCATGACATGAAAAACAAAGAAAAAAAAGATCTTCAGCTGATGGGTTTCGCAGTCGGAATGCACGAGGGAGCGCTGATCGGATTGAAGAGAATTTGGAAAGAAGATGTCCAATTGAATCGAGAAGTGCGAAAAGAGATTATACAAGTGAGAAATCAATGAAGCAACGGAAAGATAACGAAGATTTTTCAGATGCAAGAATGCCATCACGAGAATTTGTTGGCTTTGAAGGGAATGGTTGTGCACACTCCGTCCGTTTTCATTGTACACGAGTTGGCAAGTCGGGGATCGTTGAAGGTTTGTTTGGCTTACGCTTACGTTTAGACGTTCGGCTTGGTCACCAAATTTTGAGCTTGTTAACTAAAGGTGCTTCCAGGAAATCCTTGAAAGTGATCAACTTCAATTGGAGGACATCTTCCTCTATCAAATGAGCAAAGATATTGTGACTGTACGAAGATTTTTGAATCATTTAATCAATTTCGATGAAATAGGGTCTCGAGTTTCTGCACTCGAGTCCAATTGGATGCCATGGAAGACTCAAATCGACGAATTGTTTGATCGGTGAGCAAATTGTTACAATAGAATTATCTGTAAAGGAGGGAAAGTTAGAGTTATTACTTCATGAAAGCTTTATTCAATGTTTTCAGATGCTCGTTGGATGGTGAAACTCTCCTCGTTTGGACTCCGACAACTACGAGATGGCGAAGAAGATGAAGAAGGCGGAGATCAAGGTTGAGAAGATTAGATTAACAAATCAAAAAGCTCTGCTTATGTTGAGTCTTCTAGATAAAAACTAGATATGTAAATACCGTATTTTCTCTATATTTTCTCTCTAATATCGATGTGGGGTCGGAAAATGAAATTGGAAAACTTGGAAACTTTAAAATAAGCATCAACTCGACGGGGTGCATTAGGGAAAAGCCGGTACATGAAAAACACTTTTAAATGGCGCATCGAACCCTCCAGGTGCACCAGGTCAATAATCTAGTATCTAATAATGTAAACAGCATATACTTTCATGGAGAAATACAGATTTTACGGGCGTACAAATGTTATTACTATTCCAGCTATTCCAGCTATTCCAGCTGCTCGTTTCTAGCCGATTCACCACAAAAAGGGCTCAGATTTTAACGATAATCTCTCTCATGGGTCTACCGTATTTTCTCTAATAGTAGTGTACCCAAAGCTTCGCCTAAATTCCTCGAAATCTCGAGAACCGCTTATCAGAACCTATCGATGTGGGGTCGGAAAATGTAGCTGACGATGAGATCTAGTGGGGGATTTGAGTGTTGAGCTTCTGCAAAAGCATGGAAACGCTAAAATCGTCACCAACTCGGCTCGCTTGGGTGCACTACTATTAGAGAAGATACGGTCACACCCTTTTCAGACTATTTATGGACGGCTCCCGAAGTTCTTCGTTGGGGTGGTTCACTGGCGAACTATTCGGAGATTTTGTTGGCCAAAGTGATATTTCATAAGTTGATTTTATCCAAACATTTTAGGCTGATATCTATTCTCTGTCTATTCTCCTCTATGAGATCTTTGGCCGAGCAGGACCATGGGGAGATGAACCACTCACACCAACAGGTTATCGTATTTACAAAATATCATGGCTTTAGCTGGATTTTAAAGAGAAAGGGGAAAATATCATAGAATTAGAATGATTATAATATATTCTGATTCATTGCTTGCAGATATTCTTGATCGTCTCGGCAATCACGATCCATTGAGCGAAAAGAAACCGTATCGACCAGATATGACCGGATTGAAGGTATTCGATTCGTTGTGAACACAATTTGTAACCATTTCAAAAAGCAAGTGCATCAAGCGATTCGAGAAACAATTGAAGCTGGATGGGTGGATGATCCTCTTGCACGCCCAACTGCACCACAAATCAGGAGAAAACTCCGCGTGTTGACTGTTGGATTGTGAGTGGTTTAGGAAAAAAGATTGAATTGATCAATTCGTTGAATAATATTTATGCATTTGAACCCAGTCCTTTCCGACTTATTCGAACCGCCACCACAACCAAATTCTCTTTCGGTACCTAAACGGATTAGAAAAAGCTTTTGTCAACGAATTCTATTATATACTTGAAGTAAACAAATCGACTTTGGATGTGCATCGGTGGGAAGATGATCGGCAGCAATTCGACTGTATTTCATTGTATACGTTACCCAATAGCTAAACTTTCGATAGGTTTAAGTGTAGCTTTGTGTTCCACTCACTGATCGAGATCTTGTGCAATCAATCTCATTGATAACATTTTGTTGATACTTTCCGGATCATTGTTCTCTTTGATCGCGTCAAGGAGAAGCTCGCGAATCGCCTCATCCGGGCATTTCCAGACTAAAAGAGTAAAGTCATTGTAAAAACAATTGTAAACAAATTTCAATGAATTTTTCAAACGTTATAATACTTTTGCTGGTATACTCTGGACCGGATTTTACTGTATTTTAAATCAGAAAAGTTGTTTGCTGTTTAATCTTACCATAAACATCGACTCGACTTCCAGTCGACTGTTGAACTACTTGAAATTGAGAGAAAACTATTGGGAAAAGAAAGAAAAAAAGCAAATGGATCATTTTCCAAAAATTTGGAAATCGATTAGAGCTAAAATTTGTTCAAAAGGGCCATTTGGATGAGCGGAAATATAATGACCCTAGATAAGCGAAAATCAAAGAAAAAGGGAAATGAGTAAAAGGGTAAAAGATGAGCAAAAAAAATGGAGAACAAAAAAAGGAGACATTAACTTTAGAAAGAAAAGTATCATGGACTCGATGGTGGAAATGATCGAGAAGTACACGGCAAGATTGGTATATTATAGAATGAGAGAATGAGACTGAAGGGGGGAACAATTCAGGAACGGGACATCACCGAAAGGAACTCCGAATTGGCAGCAGAGAAGAAGAAAACCGAACAATTGCTGAAAATGATGTTACCACAGTAAGAGAGGGGAAAAGATTACGGTAATTGGAGTTATTTTTTTTAGAGTGGTAGCCGAGAATCTGAAGAACGGAACAGCCGTGCAAGCCGAGAGTTTCCCATCGGTGACGATTTACTTCTCGGATTGTGTCGGATTCACCGAACTCTCGGCTACGTCGAAACCGATTGAAGTAAGAGATCATAGTTCAGTAAAAGATGAATCTGGTTCTGAAATTGATACCAAAGTATTTTGGTATCAATAGCCTTTACAGTTACTTCTGTAGATTTAACTCTTCACATTTGAGATTGTTCAATTCCTCAACGATCTCTACACTTGTTTTGATCAAATCATCGAGCGCTTTGATGTCTACAAGGTGTTCATCTTTAAAGCCATAACTCATTTATCACCTCATCTCAGGTTGAAACAATCGCCGATGCGTATATGGTTGCTTCGGGTCTTCCCATTCAAAATGGTCAACATCATGCCGGAGAAGTGGCATCTATGGCTTTGGCTCTACTCACTGCTATTGATGTTCGTTTTACGAAAGAAAACTTGTAGCGCTAATCGTTTTAGTCTTTCAAAATTCGACATCGACCCGCCGAAAAGGTGAATCTTCGCATTGGAATGCATTCGGGACCTTGTGTTGCCGGGGTAAAGTTTTTGGAAAATAGACTTACAGAAACATACACCCATGCACAAAAAAAATGTCAAATCGTTTTTACAAAACTTTACGCCTAAATTTGACCTACTAAACGTGTTCCAAATTCTATGCTGTCAAAAGGTTTTAGATAGCAAAAAGCTTCTACTTTCTTGTGAAAAAGTGTTCAAGTTCCAGCAATTTGCTTAAATTTTTATTTTTCAATAAATACCGGAAGAACACCAAAAACGGGTGCACAAAAAAAATGTCACATTTAACTTGAACCTCCCTTAGCTGGGCCTCCCTTAGCTTGAATAACTGCCTGAATCCTCCGTGGCATCGAATCAGTCAAATCCTCCAAGATTTGAGGAGAAATTTTCCGCCATTCGCTTCGAATGAAGTACCAAAGCTCAACCTTGGTCGCAAATCGTTTGCCCTTCAGTTTACCCTTGATGTGCGACCACAAATGCTCGATTACGTTGAGATCCGGGCTTAAGGTGGAGCAGCGACGAGCTGACACGATTGTCAGCGAACCATCCCGGTAAACGAGCCCCTTCCACCGTTTGAAAGTCGGCCGACCCTTCCTATCAACATCTGGTGCTTGTGACACGGAGCGTTATCCTTGTACAACAACCATCCTTGTCCCATATTCGTGGTCGCAAATGGAAGAAGATCATTCTCAGGATCGTCTTGTACCGCTGGGCCTTCAAGATTGAGTTGAGAAAGACGAGCGGACCTGGTGAACTTCTAGTTATCGCTCCTGAAAAAAAGCAAGATTAGTTGACATAAGGGAACAAGTCTTTTACCCCATAGCATAATCCGGAGACCAGTTGGACAACGCCATAACATCAAATACTTGCGGCCGAGTCAAATTTGGTGGCGGATCGATTATGCTATGGGGTAAAAGACTTGTTCCCTTATGTCAACTAATCTTGCTTTTTCAGGAGCGATAACTAGAAGTTCACCAGGTCCGCTCGTCTTCTCAACTCAATCTTGAAGGCCCAGCGGTACAAGACGATCCTGGAGAATGATCTTCTTCCATTTGCGACCACGAATTGGGACAAGGATGGTTGTTGTACAAGGATAACGCTCCGTGTCCAGCACCAGATGTTGATAGGAAGGGTCGGCCGACTTTCAAACGGTGGAAGGGCTCGTTTACCGGGATGGTTCGCTGACAATCGTGTCAAGCTCGTCGCTGCTCCACCTTACGCCCGGTCTCAACGTAATCGAGCATTTGTGGTCGCACATCAAGGGTAAACTGAAGGGCAAACGATTTGCGACCAAGGTTGAGCTTTGGTACTTCATTCGAAGCGAATGGCGGAAAATTTCTCCTCAAATCTTGGAGGATTTGACTGATTCGATGCCACGGAGGATTCAGGCAGTTATTCAAGCTAAGGGAGGCCCAGCTAAGGGAGGTTCAAGTTAAATGTGACATTTTTTTTGTGCACCCGTTTTTGGTGTTCTTCCGGTATTTATTGAAAAATAAAAATTTAAGCAAATTGCTGGCTTGAACCTTTTTCACAAGAAAGTAGAGCTTTTTGCTTCTAAACCTTTTGACGCTAGAATTTGGAACACGTTTGTGGTCAAATTTGGCGTAAGTTTTGTAAAAACGATGTGACATTTTTTTTGTGCATGGGTGTAGATTTTTTAAAAAACTGTGAAGGACTGACTACTTTCAAAAAGAAGAACATTCAAAAAGTTTACAGGTTGTTGGTTTAAAAATGCCTCGTTATTGTCTTTTTGGTGACACGGTTAACACGGCTTCAAGAATGGAAAGCAACGGAATACGTGAATCACACAAATACACTCCATCAAGATATAAATATCTTTAGCCCTAAGAATCAATTGCTCTCAAGCGGCTCGCGATATCCTTGAACAACTTGGTGGATATCATATGGAAAATCGGGGACTCGTTGAAATGAAAGTATTTTAAAAGAAAAACACCGCTCTTCGATTTGAAACAATCTCTAAATCTAGGGAAAAGGACTTCAAATGACGTATTTTGTAACCGGTGAGGACCCGATGAAACGTCGTGAGCGTTTGAGTCGAGACAAGGTTTTGAAACTAATAAAAATCGTTACGACGCTTATATGGTTGTAGGTGAAATTCCCGACACTTCGCTTGCCGCTGGAGGCAATGGAGAAAAATGAAAACGCACTTTAACTCGGAAAAAAAAAACAAATTCTCTTTATGTAAACGTAACTTGATCATCAAAAAGTTCGAAAATAAACGATTGTTGTTGCAATTTAAATTCTTCGCATTTCTTTTGCAATGTGCAATTCAAAAAAACAATTATCTGTAACAACTGCACCGTAGTCTATAATTCGAGACTGTTTGGGGTACTGTAAAACAAGTTATGTGAAATGCATACATTTTTTTATTTTCATTTTTCTCTTCGTTATTTTCTTGCGACGTCTCGCTTTTTCTTTCCAACCCCTATAAATTTTTGATGGATTTCACAATCGCTCCCAGGGTTTCACCACGCTTTTTTTGCTCTCTTCCCTCTTTCGCTTCTTTCCCATTTAGGCTAATACCCCAGCAGCGAAAAGAAGGACGTTTCCGCTCGAAAAGAGCCCGCATTTTTTTGGAGAAACAGGGGTGCTCAAATAGTGTCGTATCGATTGTGCATAGCAGCCCCTTTCCCGCCACTTTTCTCTTTGCTAACGGAGACGCCACGCAGAGGATCGCGCGCCAAAAAAGGCCGGTACGAATGCATCACCGCCAGAAAGGCGCTTCGATTATCCGAAAATATCTTTGCTTTTTACTCAATTCGGCCCAAGTTTTTTGTTTTCAAGCAAGGCTTAATTTTCTTTTCATTTCGCCTTATTTACGAATGCCCTTAAGTTTTACCTAAATAGCCCTTTCCTATCTTTCCCAATTTTTCTGATGAGTCATCCCTAAGCAGTATCGATTCATCTTATCTCTTATTTCCGTTTTCTCTATTCATTTTTATAGCAACTTTATTTTTTCAGACATGCGTGAAGTCATCTCGATCCACGTCGGACAAGCCGGAGTTCAAATCGGTAACGCCTGTTGGGAGCTGTACTGCCTCGAGCATGGAATTCAGGTAAGGGCTGTTCATTGATTCGCTATTAGATATTAGTTTTAAAGAAAACTATAAGCTGTAGTAGTTTAAAGCCTAAATTTGATTATATTCATTATATATGTTGTATTTGATTTGAATTGAACTCACCGCGGATTGCCAAAGTTAAACTTTTATGAAATTACTAGAAAATGATTAAAAACGGCCCAAGTATAGTCGCCCCCCACCAAATCAACTTTGGGATACATTTTTTTGAAGTAATTTTGCGCGTAGATGTCGAATTTCAACACCCCAAAGCCATTTGAGTTTTCTAAAAAAAAATTTGTTGAAAATTACCCATTTTTAAAAGATTTTCGCTCATTTGAAATGCAAGCTTGGTCCTATTAATGTAGAAGTGAAGCATGTAAGCTTTAAACGTAGAATTACTAAGGATACCTCTGGACCTCTGTTTGGATTGAAATCCAAAGCGGATACAATATATATTGTTGTTTTTAGCCCGATGGAAAGATGCCCTCTGATCAGAAGTCAGACGACTCGTTTACCACATTCTTCAGCGAGACCGGCAACGGACGTTACGTTCCTCGAGCAATCATGGTCGACTTGGAGCCAACTGTTGTCGACGAGATTCGCTCTGGAACCTACAAGCAACTCTTCCACCCTGAGCAAATGATCACCGGCAAAGAGGATGCTGCCAACAATTATGCTCGAGGACACTACACCATTGGAAAAGAGATCATCGACCTCGTTATGGATCGCGTTCGCCGACTTGCCGACAACTGCACCGGGCTTCAAGGATTCCTTATCTTCCACTCATTCGGAGGAGGTTTGTGATTTGATGGATTTTTTTCTTTAAAATCATGCGCTAGAGTTATTGTTTTTGTTTAGGTACTGGCTCGGGCTTCACTTCGTTGTTGATGGAGCGCCTGTCCGTCGACTACGGCAAGAAGAGCAAATTGGAGTTTTCTATCTACCCGGCTCCCCAAGTGTCCACAGCCGTCGTCGAGCCCTACAATTCGATCCTCACCACCCACACCACATTGGAACACTCGGACTGCGCCTTCATGGTCGACAACGAAGCCATCTACGACATCTGTCGACGCAACTTGGATGTTGAGCGCCCTAGCTACACCAACTTGAATCGCATTATCTCACAGGTTTGTACCTTGTTTTCATGAATTTAGGTACATTTTGTTTATGTGAGTATGGGTTTATATATTTAGGTGGTCTCGTCCATCACTGCTTCTCTCCGTTTTGATGGTGCTCTCAACGTCGACCTTACCGAGTTCCAGACCAACTTGGTACCATACCCTCGGATTCATTTCCCGTTGGCAACCTATTCACCACTCATCTCTGCTGAGAAGGTAAGTTAAAAGAATTGAAGCTCTTTAATTTTTATTTTAGGCTTATCATGAATCTCTCTCCGTGCAAGACATCACAAATATGTGCTTCGAACCGGCCAATCAAATGGTGAAATGCGATCCTCGTCACGGAAAATACATGGCCGTCTGTTTGCTCTACAGAGGAGATGTTGTGCCAAAAGACGTTAACGCCTCAATCGCTTCGATCAAGACCAAGAGGACGATCCAATTTGTCGACTGGTGCCCAACTGGATTCAAGGTAGCCTACTTTTTGTAATTTTTAATTTCCAAGTTCAGGTCGGCATCAACTACCAGCCACCAACCGTCGTTCCTGGAGGTGACATCGCAAAGGTGCCGCGAGCCGTGTGCATGCTCTCCAATACGACTGCCATCGCTGAAGCTTGGGCCCGTTTGGATCACAAATTCGACTTGATGTACGCTAAACGTGCCTTCGTTCATTGGTGAGTTTTTTGGTTATTTTAAAAATAGCAACTTTTCAATTATTAATTTCATTTTAGGTATGTCGGTGAGGGTATGGAGGAAGGCGAGTTCAGCGAGGCTCGAGAAGATTTGGCTGCTCTCGAGAAGGACTACGAAGAAGTGGCTGTCGATTCAAATGAGGGCGGTGAAGGACAAGACGAGTACTAAGCCGATGGCATCGACCCGGAAATCTCATGTCTAAATTATTTTTGTTTATCCTCGTAAATATTTATTAATTTTACATTGTCTAGCCCAATGCTGTGTTTTATGAGAATTTTTAAAATAAATATTGTTCCGAAATTCAAGGCCAAGCCTTTTAATGTATAAAACAACTGTAATACCTATCTATGTCGACAGTAGCTGAATTGCATTTTTGAGTTGTGTGTAGTTGTTAGTGTTTGGAAATAATCCTTTAGTTGGATTTCTCCAAAAGCTTACTTGACTTTGAGTTTTGGGCATGTTTTCATTTCTTAATTTCCAGAGAATGTCCCGCGAAGAGCTCGTGCAGAAGGCCAAGTTGGCTGAGCAAGCCGAGAGATACGACGACATGGCTGACGCAATGCAAAAAGTGACCGAACAAGGAGACGAGCTATCGAACGAAGAAAGGAATCTCCTTTCGGTGGCTTACAAGAATGTGGTTGGGGCTCGTCGGTCATCATGGAGAGTTATCTCGTCGATCGAGCAGAAGAACGCCGATCACTCTGAGAAACGCTCTCAGCTCGCCAAGGCTTACCGCGAAACGATAGAAAAGGAGCTCAGCGACATCTGCAACACCGTCCTCACCCTTCTCGACAAACATCTCGTTGCTAAGGCATCCTCTCCTGAATCTAAGGTGTTCTACTTGAAGATGAAGGGAGACTACTACCGTTATTTGGCTGAAGTGGCTCAAGGAGATGCCCGGGGAGCCGTCGTTGACAAATCGCAACACGCCTATCAAGAAGCCCTCGACATTGCCAAGGAGAAAATGCAGCCAACTCATCCAATTCGATTGGGATTGGCGCTCAACTTTTCGGTATTTTACTACGAGATCTTGAACGCACCCGATCGTGCTTGCCAACTCGCCAAACAGGCTTTCGATGAGGCGATCGCCGAGTTGGACACTCTCAACGAGGATTCCTACAAGGATTCAACGTTGATCATGCAGCTTCTCCGCGACAATCTCACTCTTTGGACCTCGGATGCTGCTGGAGAGGATGAGCAAAACGAGGGCGATAACTAATTTCGATAATTTCTCCGCTTTTGTTGTTAACTTACTGTGTTGATTTTTGCCCGGTCTTCTTCCAAAAGATTTTGCAAACGAACGATTAAATAAATAAAATTACAGGATGGATCCGACGGATGCTCGCTTAAATGTTCCAGTTGGGCATTTGAATGAATCAGGTAAGCATCAAGAAAATGAACTGTAAAAAAGAAATCCTAGTTGAGGTGTGCTTGGTAGCACCAAGGCCGTTCGACGAGCGACTGATAGTTTCAGCTCGGGAAACTGATCGGATTCGATCTGATGACCTAATGGCTTTAGCACAACAGGTAACAGCAAGCCAAGGTTACCTAATCCAAACAATGCCCTTTCAGGTGTCGCAAGCCCGGGATTTGGTGAAAAATCGTGCATGTGATCGCCTACAAGCCATCGCTGAACAAATGGAGTTCTTGCACATGGTTTGAGCTAACAAATCTAGTGCTTAAGCAAAAGATTAGAAAGCTAAACAAGTGCTGGACGAAGCGGCTAGAGATGAGAAGCTACATCAAATACCATGTAATGTTCAAAAAATCCCCGGCAAACTGTATCATTTGTACAAGAAGCAGGACGAGACTAGGTATTGAAAATAGAGTAAATAAATAAACCAATAAATTTTAGATATTTTTCGATCTTATCGCCAAATGAGTGGAACAGTGAAGAGAAGCGACAAGAATATATTGGGTCTTTCCGGTACAAAGAAGTAATAAATCAAAGATGTAAAAAGAATTTCAGATACGAGTTGGATCGAAGTTGGACACCATTGGAAAAGGCGAGTAAACGAGATGATCAATTTCACCAATTCAGAACATTACTCGAAAAAGGCCAATTGAAACATTTAGCTCTTGAATAGAGATTTTATATTGTGGATGAAGCGTGTGATATAAAACATTGGGTATTTTGTGATTTATAAAGTCATTATTTCAGAAAAAGCACTCATAGCACTTGCAATAGATTTTATGTAGAGATGTGTTGAAATTTGAATAAAGATTTTATTTCTTGCTTCTCTTGATCAAGAATCACATCAAAAGTCACTTCGAAGAATTATATCAACAAAAGATGCGTAAAACGTGATACAATTGATTTTAAAGGTGCATTCAATGTATTCTTCTTTAAAGTTTTCTTCAACTTTTGATGCTTTCTCATATATTTTTTTCTTTCAGATAAAGGAAACGATGAAAACGCTTGTCGTCGACAATGGTGGATATTCGATCAAAATCGGATACGCCGATGGAGAATGCCGGTTGGTTTTTTGAATTTGATTAGTATTTTTATTGTTTTGAGAGAATAATAGTTAGTACTTTGCATGCCAAACTTTGCACATTTCCCCAAAAAGTTGCCTGGGGAAGAAGCTCGGCAAAAGAAGAAGAGGGCATCGAGCTTTGATCAACTTTCGCACTGGGTATTTTTATTGTTTTGAGAGAATAATGGTTAGTAATTTGCACGCACACATTGAGCGAAGTGCTTTCAATTTGAAACTTTACCAATGAACATAATAAACCGATAATTTTGAGCTTAAAGTTTGAAGCTTAGCAAAAGACGTTTATTACTTATCTTTTAACTGATAAACTATTGTTCTTATACAAATGTGTGTTTAGAACAGTGCCGAATGCGGTATTCAAGTCGAGGACGGATCGGAAGCGAGCCTACATCTCGGACCAATTGGACGAATTAAATGAACGAACGGGACTTTTCTATTCGCTGCCGTGTGAACGTGGATATTTGGGTGGGTTTTTGCCTTACTTTTATAATATAGAAAAAAATTCCAATGTTAGAACGGTATGAAAAACTAGGAAAATTGGAAAGTTTATACTGCGTTTAAAGATAAAACCTGAAAAGGCGTTTAATTGTCTTTTAATTAATGTTTAATATAGTTAATTTTTAATGCTCAATCTTTTAGTGAACTGGGACATACAAAGACAAATCTGGGAGCATCTATTTACCGGTTATCAACCATCGGAAACGAGAATTGCCTTGTCGGATCCCATTTACACGGTCCCAGCCATCAATGACTACTCGGGGGAGATTCTCTTCGAGGACTTTGGATTTTCAGCCGTTCACAAAAGCGCTGGTTAGTTTTCACATTGTTTTTTTTAAAAATATGAGCAATGTTCATGGTTTATAAACGCAATTTACATGTGTTTATTTATTAAAATTCAAGAATTAAACGTTTCTATTTAGCACCCCGATGGATTGGATGTGCGGCGGCAGCGGTTTCCTCGTCAAATCGATTATGTTTGGTTGTCGATTCGGGCTATTCGTTTACGCATGTTGTCCCGCTGCTCGATGGACAAATTCTACAAAGCGGTGTTTTGAGGTAATTTTTGTTCAAAGGCGCACCGTTAAGATAAACAGACATTTTTATAATGTTAAACTCGCATATTTAAAACCCTACTCAATTCACACATGATTGTTTGTTAAAAGGCACAAAGAAAAAGCTAAATTCCGTAAAAGTTTGATTTTGTTTAGGATAGATGTCGGCGGAAAGGTGCTAACGAATCTACTAAAAGAATGGATATCTTATCGAGAAATAAATGTATGCTTTCATCCACATTCTCTTTTTAAAACTTTATTTAGATGCGAGAGGAGACGTATGTAGTGAATGAATGTAAAGAGGATTGTTGCTATGTGAGCATCGATTTTGACATTGACATGAAGATCAGCAGGTTCGAATATTGAAGTTAACTTTGTGAAACTGTTTTTATTTAGGCTCAAAAACGAAACGAATACCATTCGAAGGGAATACGTTCTACCGGACTTTCGACAGAATATGCGCGGCTTTGTGAGAAATCCCGTCAGGTGAGTGAACAAATCTGACAATGAGCTATGACAATATTTATATTTTCAGAGAAAAAGACGATCTACAGAAAGTGTCAATGAATTTGGAGCGTTTCAGCCTACCCGAAGTGTTATTCAAGTTAGTGGTGTATTTGGTTTTATTAGATCTTGCATATAGGCCCAACGATATTGGAATCGATCAGCTGGGAATCGGAGAAGCGGTGGTCGAATCGACAAAACGAATTCACGAACATCTGGCGCCGGGCCTTCTCCAGAATATTTATGTGGTTGGCGGCTCGTCTCTATTTCCCAACTTCCGCCAACGATTGTGCGTCTTGTTGCAAAGAACTAGTATAGAGGAAGCTTAATTAATTAAAAATTGAATGTTTTCTTTTAATGTCAAATGTTAATTCTAGAAATGTCTGAACAACTTTTTTTAAGAGAGCGTGAAGTTCGCTCGGGAGCACCCGATTTGTATGGTGTTGGTCTTGCCTCAATTCCTAATCCAATAACGCATGCCTGGACAAGCGGAGCCATGTTGGTAAGTGAAAATTTTCTTATAAATGTTGTTATGTTATTAATTTTAGGCTAAGTCTGATGAATTGCCGGGCGGTTTCATGACTCGAACCGAGTACTTGGAATGTGGAGAGGATTTTATGCTTGAACAGAGGTTTTTTTTATAATTTATGTCTTTCTCAATGTTTTTCTTTTAGATTTCTCGAATTCAATGACGATCCCGATTATGCTGAGTATTTAACCAATAAGCTAACAAAAGCCACGTCGAAGAGTGACGATGCATTCGTCCAATCAACGAATTGAAAGAAAGGGGGTCGTTATAAGACGGATAATCTACCGTATCCTTGACCGAATTTCGAGTTTGAGGCCCTAATGCCCTGTCAGCGTTATTCTCGTTTCGTCCCAGACGCTCACTGTAAAGTTTTGAAGTCGTATTGTTATTTCATTTTTACAATTTTTACCATTTTACCATTTTACCATGATTGGTATTGTTAATTGATATTGATATTGTTATTGTTAATTGCGGTTACTATTGTCTCCTTGATCTCAAATAAAAATTATGATTGTAATTTATTGTCGAGAACTTGGTTCGATTCCGTTCATTACAAACTTACCTATTTAGGTCATTGTTTTGTTGGGGATTTGCTAGTTTTAGTCAAAGTTTCGTCTTTTTTTCATTCATTTTTAATTTTTAATAAAGGGTTACGATTTTCGGTGCTTTAGTGGTTGGGAGAGGCCGCTTTTGACTTGCCTGGTCGAATCTAGTGTTTTGGGCGGTTCGTGTCGATACTTTTCTTCTATTCCGGGGTAGTTATATATGCTGTGGCGATTGGTGCTAATTTTAGAGTATTTCCAACATGTTTCAAGTTAATATTGCAGCTTTCTAAGTGTAATCGGCTTTGAGATAACGTTCGGTGGTTAAAGTACAGCAACCTAGCACGGGGCAAATCATCCAATAGGATTATCAAAAACGTGCTTAAATTAGTACCAACCACTTCAGCATATATAATTACTCCGGTATAGAAGAAAAGTATCGGCACCACGAACCGCTCAAAACGCTAGATTCGACTAAGCAAGTCAAAAGTAGCCCCTTCCAACCATCAAAGTACCAGATTTTCTTCAATTCCAGGTAACCCTTGAGAATGTTCCGATCGGGGTTGTTATTCATCACTCTTCTCGGACTCGGAGTCTGCGTCAAAACCGCTGATGAATGCGAAGTAAGCTTATTCGTGCTTTATTCTGTTTAATTTGCTCTTTTAGGTTTGTGTTAAAGTTCTCACGGATGTGATGGCCAAAGTGCCCGAAGCAGAAAAAAGCAAGGTAAGGTTTTGCATTAAAGAAAAAAGTGTGCTGCACTGCTCAAATTTGCTGTTTAGGCTGATGCTATCTCCCGAGTGACCCGAGAACACTGCGCCACCACACGGCAGAAGGAAAACAAACTTTGCTTCTACATTGGAGCCCTACCCGAATCGGCCACCTCAATTATGAATGAAGTGTGTTTTGCTAGACTTTGTAGTAAAAGCACGTAGATGTACAATAATTCAAATCTTTAGATCTCCAAGCCGCTCTCGTGGTCAATGCCTCCAGAAAAGGTGTGCGAAAAGCTAAAGACGAAAGACGCCCAAATCTGCGAATTGAAATTCGACAAGCCGATCGATTGGAAAACGTTGGACCTGAAGAAGATGCGCGTCAAGGAGTTGAAAAACATTCTCAATGAGTGGGGAGAGGTTAGTTATTATGGCTCTTTTCTCGGAGTTTTTATGTAAACATATAATATTTGACTTTAGGTATGCAAGGGCTGCACCGAAAAGAGTGAATTCATCAAGAAAATTGAAGACCTCAAGCCGAAGTACGTGAAAGAGGAACTGTAAATCGATTTCGTATCGCATCCTTTTTGTTTTCCTTTGATGATCACTATTGCCTTTTCTCGTTCTCCATTATCGTTGATTGAATTGCTGTTGATTCTAGGATTTCAAAAATTTTGGGAGGTGTCGGGTAAAGTGTTTTTTAATTGCTTTATTTATATCGATTGGTATGTTTTATCGTTTTTTTACTGTGATATCTTTAGGGTTTATGAATTGTACCTCTAACTATGTAAAGTCATCTTTGTTCTTCCGAATCTAATAAAGGTTTTTGTATTTACAGGTATTAAAATTATATTTTTCCTGGTTTAAAGCCAAAACGATCTTGTATACTTAAGTTTCAAATGCACCGCATAATTTGGTTGAATAAACGGACAGAAGTAAGCGTTTTATTTTAGAGCAAAATGGCTGCCGTGCCGCTTTCGGATCGAAATCAAGGTGTTTTTTGTTTCTGAAGCTTTCTTAGCAAACGTTTAGTCGTTTGATACCTAGCTGATACCAATATCTTCAAAAACCATGAGCAATGATTATTTATTTTAGATGCAACCGTTTACGTTGGTGGTCTCGACGAGAAAGTGACAGACGCTGTCTTATGGGAGTTATTCGTTCAAGCTGGCCCAGTTACTTCTGTCAATTGTCCCAAAGATCGAGTCACCGGAGGACATCAAGGGTATCAATTGGAATGATTAGTAAATCCGATTAGACTTTTAGTTATCTCTGCTATCAAAAAATTCTCTAGTTCGCACTTTGGTGATTTCTAGTCCATTCTAACTTTTTAATTCAAACTAGATTTTCATTTAAAATTTGGCGGAAGTCTTTAATCCAAGCATGCTAGGTAATTCAAATTATGTACATTCCAAGTGTATTTGCATTATAAACTGCTTTAGATTCGGCTTCGTTGAGTTTATGAGTGAAGAAGATGCGGACTATGCAATCAAGATCCTCAACATGATCAAGTTGTATGGAAAGCCGATCAAGGTCAACAAAGCATCGGCCCAAGAAAAGAATATGGATGTTGGAGCCAATATTTTTGTTGGAAATTTGGACTCCGAGGTGGCTTTTCCATTTGGTTATTACTATGTGTATTTTAGGTTGATGAGAAACTCTTATTCGACACTTTCAGCGCATTTGGAGTGATCTTGCAGGTAATGTTGAAATGTCAAGTTCGAAACCCACTGTAATTTTTAGGTTCCTAAAATCATGCGTGACGGAGAATCAGGAAATAGCAAAGGATTTGCCTTCATCAATTTCGCGTCATTTGAGGCTTCGGATGCGGCATTGGAGGCAATGAATGGACAGTTTTTGTGTAATAGGTAAAGGGTTTGAACGTTTAAACGATACTATCACTTGACTCAGGTCGATCACTGTTTCGTACGCTTTCAAGAAAGATGCCAAGGGTGAACGACACGGAACGGCCGCTGAACGAATGTTGGCCGCACAGAAGCCACTCTTTCTCGGATCCGATCGGCCGCATCAGGTAATTGAACGTGGTCGTTTGGAAGTATATTTTCTTTTTAGAACTTTGCTGACGCACCAGGGCCAAAGCCATCTATGGCTTCATTACCATTTCCTATGGGGGCAATGGGGTTACCGGCTCCAATCCCAGCTCCGTTTGCCGCTTTTCAAATGCCGACGCCTCATCCGACACCCACTCCAATGCCGCCTCCACCACCGCCAATGCCTCCCACTCCTGGTATGACGCCGAGGCCACCACCACCGCCTGGATCCGGTTAGTTGCGAAGTAAAAAAATATACATATTGTTCGAATGTTTAAAATTTTTCTTTAAGAGTTATGAATAACACTCGAATAAGTAAAGACTAAGGGAAAAGATTTCCGAAGTGTTTACTATCAATTAAATGGGTAAATGTAGTTAAGCACTCTATTCAACATTTTACATTTTATTTCAGTGCCACCGCCACCACCACCTGGATGGGGAGCCGGCTTACCGCCACCACCACCACACACACCCGGAGTTGGACCAACACCACCTCCACCACCACCATCTCGTGGTGAATTTCATTCAAAACCATTAAAATGAGCAACGATTAGCGTGTTTAACTACACGTTTTTACGCTCATAAAAACCCATTTTATAAACTGGGAAACCCTATGAATTTTATTATAACTAAAAAGGTTTACTAATTTAGCTCTTGTAAATTTAATGTTTAGGTGGAATGCCTCCAATGGGTATGGGTATGGGAATGCCACCCGGTCCTCCTCGAATGCCGCCACCACCACCGCCTGGTGGTTTCTTCCCTTCTGCACCAATGGGTAAGTTTTGCGTAAGCATCACTACTCCGAGTGCTTAATGTATAGTAAGTTATTGGTTTATTGGTTTAGGCGGACCAGGTCGTTTTCCTCCACCGCCTCCTCCACCACCTCAATCATCGACACCTATTCCTCCACCACCTCGTAAGTTTTTTTATATTTGGCTTAAATTTAAATTGTTTTACGTTACAGTAAATAATGACTACTAATGATTCCTTTTAAAGCACGCGCACCCGTTCCGCCTCCACCACCACAATAAACAAAAGATTCAACATTCAACATTCAACAGTAATGGAAATATCAAATGTGAAGGTATTCAATTTTGTAAACGACTATATTACTTTGTTTTTGTGATTTCTTGAATTGTTAAAAATTTTCCCTTGTTTCCTCTCCGTTCAATATGGGTCCAAATCTTATTTATTATGGTCTCATTTGTTGTTGTTTTTCTTATATTAGTTGAAAATAAATTAGATAATTGTTGAGAGGAAAAGTTTCTGGAGTCGCGAGTATTCCAGGTCAACACAACACATTAACATACATTCAATCTTACTGTTGATACAGTACTTTCAATGATTTCGATGAGTCGAATTACTGTTACAGTGTTTGCATTGGTCTTCAGTATATGTCAAGTTAGCAAGTCAAGTCTGATTGTGTCCCTCATTTGAAACATCAAATTGTTTGAGATTTGTTCAAAAAGAAAACTACATTCATTCAAATAATCCAACTTGTCGAAGACCTTTCATGATATCTTCTTGTTCTTTTTTCAACTCACTCAGATTTTCCACCTAAAATTTAATTGATCCTTTCTTTCTTTAGTGAATTCACCTTTGTGAGTGCTCGTTGTTTTATTGGTGGTGGAGTGAAAAGATTGACATTAACAATGATCTCTTTCCTAAGGAAATACACTTTTCACAAATTTTTCTCTACATAGCTTACCTTAAATTGTTACAACAAAGCGGAACAAACAACAATGATGAAACTCTGACTGTGTTTAGACAAATTGGAATCGCCTTTCGGAGTGAATCTATAGGAATGCTCATTGTTTTGTTGGTAACAGTGAGATTAAACCTGAAATGATGATTGGTGAAGTGAGATGAAAAGAAAAGCGATTGATCGAGGCTGAAATTTTGAGAATATTGAAATGACGTTGAGATTCCGGTGAAACCTGATGAAATGAGGAAAAAGAAAGAAGTTTCGAGAAGAAATAATAGAGTGAATAGGCCGAGGCACGGTATGATTAAGTGATAGATAACCCTTTCCTCGATCTGAAATCGCATCTTGTGGTGATTGAAGAAGGAATCCAAAAGGGAACCTTTAACCTTTCGACTTTTTTCTGCCCCGAAATCCCATATTGAAGAGCGGTTGAGCGTTTTGTGTGACGAAACAAATAAAGAAGATGCCACAAAGTCTGTAAATAATTTGTTGAAATACGGGACGATTTTCTTTAAGATTTAAGATTCACTAGAAACAGCAACATGTAGTAGACAGCCGAGAAGATCGCCCAAAAAGGACTCTCATTTCGGAATTCCAACGCTGAATTATGATATTCAATCGAATAGATGTCGGAAAACATCCATGTCATTGATGAAGAGATTATTGTGATCATTAACTATTTTAATATTTAAAAAAAAAATATTGCAAATCAAATGTGCTACTTACGATTCCAATAATGATGAAATGGGTAATCCATCCTTTCGGTTTTTCACGAATTTCTTCAAATCGATGATAGAGATGTGAATGAAAAAGGAGAAATCCTGGGAATAACGTTTGACGATCAATGATCATCGTGTGAAAAAATGAAGGAATTGTGGAAAGAATTGATGGATGATTGGGAACAAATGTATGCACTACAAAGACGAAATTCAAAGGTGAATCTTTGAAAATAAACCGATAAGCATCAAATTGACCAATATTGAGATCAGATTATCGTATAATAAGAGTTTCATTAGTTGAAAAACAATGTACGGTAATTCATCGTTTCCACTGCTGACACGACGAAAAACAAAAGCATAATAGAAAAGGGATGAATGGAGAAAAGTACTGAATAATAAACTTTGGAATGAATTGATTGAGCAAGCCTACCATAACGGATAAACAATCCATTCAATTTCAAACTTTCGTGAGTCTTCATGAGCGTACCCAGTATCATTCATTGTTAGATTGATGAGATCAATTTCACTCATCGTAATCTTTTCACATTTATTAAACCTTTTACGATTTTAGCTTAACTTGACAGGTGGTTAGAATGAAAGGCAAAAATTTGTCTTTATGATTGAACCTCTTGCCTACTGTTAATTTCCCGTTCTCCGAAAGGCAAACTCTTTTCCACCTGTATTTGGAGAAAATTGCAGGTTACCTTGAAAGAAATCACGAATTCACCTATTTCAGCACCTATGGAAAGTTTTGTTTGTTGAAAAAAGTTTAAGATTAGAAAATCTTAATTTATCCACATCGGGTCAACAATAAAACAATAAACCATTTGACAATGAAACCCTAGCAACAAAAAGAAAGCTCACATAAATTATCGTTTCCCTTTTCGATTTTTAGCAGCAGTCGAATTCCCAGGCATTTTCAACGTGGCGTGGCCGGTTTCTTGCAGATGAGTAAAAAGACGAGATCGTGATTCAAACCATTCCCCACAACTAAAATTGTTTCATGGCGAAATAGCGTAATTGAACTTACTTATCACAAGTGGCAGTTTTCGGAATTGTAGGACCAGTGGTTGGTTCGACTGAAGCTTTCTGCTTAGTTGCAGCAGCGGCCTTCTTTTCTAAATGAACCGCGTAATCGTTTTAAGCAACTAACTCTATACCTGCTTTAGCCGCCTGTTTCTTGTTCAGTGGTATTGGCTCCTCGGTAATCTTCACGTCACTCATTTGTTCATTTAACGCATCCGTATTATTACTAAAACTGACAAGTTATGGGATATGGCCACCTTTTGCAAACCTTTGATTCATGGATTTATCGTCCTCGTCTTTATCATTCTCATTTTGATCAGCCATTTGTTGTCCTCGTTTTTCTTTTCTTGCATTCTTTTTGCCTCGTTTGCTTAACTTGACATCCACTTGCGGATTTGTTGATTCTAAAGCAAAATGGTCGTGCTTAGAAAATACTCAAACCTTCAACATCCGAAGGTTCATCGTGATGGACGTCGTTCGAAAAAAGATTTACATCTTCTTCCTAAACGCTGATAAGTGAAACCTTTAAAAACACCAAAATACTTTCATATATTTTTTCAATTCCAACAAAGCTTTTTGATGATTCTTTGATTTCTCATGATTCTGCTTTGCATTCCTGTAATAAAGCTAATGATTTGAAGTAACAATAGAATTTAAATTACCTTGTTTTGAAAGATTTCTCACAAACAACACAATATAATGCCGCTTCATCATCTTCATCATTGCTAAGTGAACTTCCCGCTCCAAATTGCTAAAATTTTTCATATTTTTTCTCTAGTTTAATAAACCTCATCCAATTCTTGTTCAATGTTTTCTAGATGTGCCAATCTTGCTTCTCGCATTTCATCAGTTTCCACAAAATTATTTGCTTCTCTAAATTATTTCATAAAAATCATTTAGTCAAAACCAACTCCAATTGCCGTTTGATCTGGTTTATTCGATTCTCTTCAGCTTTCCGTACGTTTTCTTTCTTCTTTTCTTCAAGGTATTCTCTGTATTTGATGATTCGAGGATCTCGCTTGCGAATAAAGCCAATAAGTTCCTTTAAATGATAATAGACGTATTTTTTTCCAAAACAAACCCGAATTTGCTCATTTCGTTGCTTTTTCCCCGCCTCTCTCAATTTTTTATTCTCCTTTTCCTAAAAACTGTTTTGAAATTCGTCCCAATAAAATATTAAACCATAGCTCGAAGAGTGAGACGATTTGGAGCATTTCTAATGTCGTATTCGTCCAACCAAGAAAATGGGCGTGCTGTTGAAAAAGCAGACCAAAAACCGTAAAAAGGTCCAACAACCTGTTAACATTCGTATTTCCAATGCAAAATTTTTTTTACTGTTTCATAATCACTGTTCGCATCACCAAACTTCGGATAATGGATGGAGCAATCATCAAGAAATTCGTAATCTTCTTGAGCCAGTGTGTCAAAAACATGCGCGTATGTTGCAAAGAAACCCTAAACAATCTTCGTGAACTAGATAAAAACGCACACAAACCTTTTTATCATCATTAAAACCAGAAAAACAAGAGTTTGCAAAATACGGAAAGAGATTGAGACTTTCATCTTTATAATGTTCATCAAGTCCTGCAAAAATTACATATTATTTAATGAAGAAAAATGAATAACCTCCTCGCAAAATGCTTTCTCGGTGTCGATCATACCATTCGCGTTCATGCCGATCGCTCAAAACCTAAAAAAGGTTGGTTGGAAAGGTCCAGAGATAAACTGAATAGCTTGTTGCGAAAAGCCATAGCACGAATGTTAACAACACCCTACGGTGAAAAGTTTACCTCGTAAGCTTGTTGTAGCAAAGCAAAAATCTTCGTACATTCTTCAACGTTGTCGGGGTTTTTGTCCGGATGCCATGTGAGTGCCAGTTTGCGATAAGCTTTCTTGATTGTCTCATCATCGGCGTCTCGTTGCACTTCGAGAACTTCGTAGTGGCATTTCATGACTTTCCCTTTTGGTGGCGGCTAAAGGAGCAAAAATTCTAACTTGAAATTTCCATTGAAAATAAAAAATGAGACGGGCATGCAAAGAACTAACTGTACTCAAAACGTGAGGAACGTGTGAGTTATTGGCCCCCATTCGCAGCCAATTATGACGCTTTTTTTGTGACTCTCCCTCCACCACCAAGACAACGTGTCTTTGATGAAATCTAAAATTTCAAAACATTAAAAAAAGGCTTTAAGGATAAAATTTCATGACTGAAATGGCTGATCAAAAAATTAGTAGGTTTATAGTTTAACTTAAAAACAAAAGATACTGAATCAATGAATATAGTACTGATGTTCAAGCGCTCTGAATTCGTGAACTTTTGTTGCAACTTTTTAATTCTTACAACTTGCGGCTTTGCGATTTCCCACATTTCCCTCGAACTTTTTGCTCATTGTTATTACAATGCGGGTTTCTGTACGATTGTAGCTAACGTTTTTTCAAGTTTTAACTGCTTTCTAAAGCTATCTAGTTTAAAAACTAGCCACAACTAGTACAGAGACTCCAAGTGTAGTTTATTAGCTACTTTTTACTTTTGTAAAACAAGCGTAGTTGCATCGTTATCAATTACTTCTTTTAGAAAATGTCGGGTAACAACGGCAAGGAAAAGAAGTACGATGCGAGCAACGACAAAACGCTGAAACAGGTAGTGCTAATTCTTTAGCCATCTATAATTTACTTGTTTTAGGTCGTGAAAGGCGAATCTCCCTTGTGGATTCGTTTCGTCATCGGAATTCTTCGCGTTTGGTTTGTCATCTACGATTGTCTCAATTACATTCCCTACCAACTCTTCAATTCGCCTGCAGAGAAATTGCGCAAATCGGGCAGAACCAAGGTATGCTTGATTACCTTATGAGCAATTTCTTTTGTATTCAGGCTAAATGGGTTGACGAAGAAGAACGAGATGGGCCAATTGAAAATGTTGATGGAACGATTGCAATGGATTACCCTGGAAAAGATACCGCAGACAAAGTCGGTTATGCTCAAAGGTCGCTTCATCTGCTCATTTACAGCTATGGCGTCACGTTGTGTCAATTTACGGAGATAAGGACGCACTGGGAACACGCCGATTGTTGGAAGTGGTGCAAGAAAAGCAGCCAAATGGACGTCTCTTTGAAAAAGTCTGTCGACTCGGTCGTTTGTGTAACCAATAGTGGGTTTAGTGGAGCCTTGGTGAATACGAATGGATGTCATACAAAGACGTCGAGCGAAATGTTCAACAATTGGCCGCTGGCATCAAGGATCTTTCCGCGGGATTGGACGATCCAAAAGTTTGAATTTCGTGTTAGCCACTTTTATTATATGTATCTAGGTGGTGATTTATGCCGAAACACGCGCCCATTGGCTTATTGTCGCGCTTGCCTGTTTCCGTGCAAAAGTGACGGTTGTGACAGTTTATGCTACATTGGGAGAAGAGGTTAATTTAAAAATAGGAAAAATGCTAGCAATCTTTTGTATTTAGGCAATTGCTTCTGCAATCAACGAGACTGAAGCCTTCATGTTGGTCACTTCCGCGGAACTTGTCGAAAAGGTTTTGGTTGGATAGAAACTTTGTAAATGTTTTTTTTTTAGATTGGAAGTAACATATGCTCCAAATGTCCAACCGTGCACACGCTGATGTATTTTCCACCTGTTGATACTACGTCTTCTGGCCCAGACCTCGAAGTTTATCGAAACCAATTCAAACACATCTTCACGTTTTCCGCTTTGAAAGATCGCAGCGCTAAACCAATTTGTAAGCCATTATTTACTTTGCCATATGTATGCAATTTTAGTGGAGTCAACGGCTGAACCAAGCGATCTTGCCCTCATCATGTACACATCTGGAACAACAGGACAGGCAAAAGGAGTGATGTTGCTGCATTCAAATCTTGTTGCTGCAATTGCTGGACAAGGAAACGGAGTGAAGAAAATATTGACGTAAGCTTTAAATATTGCAAGGAACTATCAAGGTATTGTTTTTAGGGATGCGGATACTTACATCGGATATCTCCCATTGGCGCACATTCTTGAGATGGATGCTGAATTGACGGCTCTTTCACGCGGATGTCGTGTCGGCTACTCTTCGCCCCTAACGCTTCACGACAGAGCTTCAAAGATTTTGAAAGGAACGCATGGGGACTGCTATGCCCTCCGTCCCACTGTCATGGCCGCTGTTCCGGTTTGTTTACCCTTTTTTGCTTGTTTACAATATTACGTTTAGGCTATTATGGACCGAATATTCAAAGCGGTGACAGAAGAAGTTGCGGCCAGCCCACGATTCATGCAGGAATTGTTCAAACTTAACTATGAACGGAAGCGCGCTCGTTATCAAGATGGATATTGTTCGCCGTTCCTCGATCGAATCATCTTCAAGAAAATCCGCAAGCTACTGGGAGGCAAACTTCGAGGAGTTCTATCTGGCGGAGCACCGCTGAACCCAGAAACTCAGCGCTTTATGAACATCTGCATGTGTTGTCCAGTAATTCAGGTTGGATCCTATTTTTTCTTTATGTAACTAATGTAATTTGATTAAGGGCTATGGCTTAACTGAAAGTTGTGGCGCTGCGTGTATTGCTGATACAGAAGATCTTTCAACCGGAACTGTTGGCCCTCCAGTGCGTTGTGCTCGGATCGCTTTGCGGTATTACTTCTAGAACGTTCTAGATTATTTTCTCTATTTAGGGAGTGGAGCGAGGCTGGGTATTCTCCATACAGCGATCCATCGACTGGGGAAATTCTCATCTCTGGACCTCACATTGCTGCTGGATATTGGAAGCAACCCGAGAAAACACGTGAAGATTTCATCGAGCACAAAGGACTCCGCTACTTTGCAACTGGAGACATTGGATTGAAACGAGATGATGGCTCGCTAACAATTATCGATCGCAAGAAAGATCTCGTCAAGCTTTCAAGTGGCGAATATGTTTCCTTGGCCAAGGTATGTGGGATTTTGCTTTTACTTTATTTTTGCTGCTCAGGTTGAATGTGCTCTGCTGAACTGCCCAATCGTTGACAACATCTGTGTCTACGGAAACAGCTTGGAAGATTCTACTATTGCCCTTGTTGTGCCAAATGCTAAGCACTTGCAAAAGATAGCTGAAGAGGTTTGGTTTATCCTATTCTAGTTCAAATTAACCCAACCCAAATTGTTTGTCTTTAGGTTTCGGTCACTTCTACTGACATTGCAACACTTTGTCGAGAAGACTCTGTGGTGAAAGCTTTCAAGAAGAAAATGGAGGAGCATGCAATCAAAAACAAACTGCACAAGTCGGAAATCCCAAGTGCAATTCACTTGTGTGAAGAGGTTTGATTTGTTTGTTGTTGGCTTTGAATGGAAACTTTCAGGAATGGACTCCACAATCTGGCCTTCTTACGGAAGCCCTCAAACTCAAGCGCAAGCCCATCGAGAAGAAATATGAAACCGTAATTCAATCATTGTACAAAAAAGCACGTATTTAATTTATCTGCTTTGTTGTGTGATTCATAATATTTCAAGTTGGTTATTTGTTGCTTAAGTCAATGCAGGTAAAGTTGTTCAATCAGTAAACGTTCCATAATTTAAACCAGTGATAAGTGTCTAGCTTTACTGTATTGACGTTCCTTATGCACGAGACTAAGTTTTGGCTTTAACTTTGATTTGTTTCGTGGCTTAGAATTACAATGCATCCTGGTTGTTTCAATGTATTCCATGTGGTTGTTACCATTCTCCGGTGTTCTTGTTTCAAATGATCAACATACTCGTGCGGTGGTTTATTCGGTTTCTTTTAAAAACCATTTCTCGTCATTTTCGTTTATCTGTGAAATCAATGAGCTGAATTTTGTAATAAAACGTTTTTTTTTATTCAATTTTATAGAAAGAACAGCATTAAAATCCTACCCAACTACCTAAAATCTGATTGTGAGGAAATTACTCATCAAAATTGAAACTATTAATATAGACAGTCAAAATAACAAAAAAATGTTATGGTTTAAGATGCCTCTGCAGCCAAACCGAAGGATCTTCTTTAGTGGAGCCAAAGAAACTGAACGATTCAAGAAAAGCTACCAAAAAAGTAGAACGGAAACGACAGATGATCGTGAGACCAATAAAACAATGGGAATGCAAATTCTCACTCGTGCCGATAAAGAACGAGCAAAAAGCCCAGGTGGGGTAAAAGTTTCCCAAAACCTTCAAGATCTTTTTAGTAGAACAAAAGCCGGAAACGTCAACAAGTGTTATTCATTATCCTCAACTGACGCGCCGTCCAATCTCAACTGATGTCGCTAAAACCGGTAACTTTTTACAAAATGTGCTTGGTATATTTATTCGATTTTAATACGAACAAATAACATTTATTTTAGGCGCTAAATCTACGACTGGGGCGACTACATTGGCAAATGTTAGCAAGACGACAGAGCTTCCCCAAATGACTGATGGTATTCGACTTATTGGAGAGCATCTTGAATTCTTCGATCAAATAAATGTCGGTTTTCTCAACTGTACTATTTTATGTTCTTTTAGGAATATCTTTCGGACACAAACGCGTGTTACTCTGTCATTGGAGCGATAGGTCCACAAGGAGTAGGAAAGTCCACTCTTTTGAGTATGATTGGAGGCAACACATCACAGGAAATGTATCGGTAAAAAAGAGAATCACTTGGAAAAATTAACCAGATGCTCAGACAATATATCTTCCGGCCGTGCTCACGAGAAGCAATTGAGGGATCAAGACACCAAACTGCATGCGTTTACGTTTATGTAACAAAAACAAGGATGATTTTGATAGACTGTCAGGTAGAGTGGTTTTATTTGAATGAATTTTATTTTATTTTAGGCTATGAATAGTGGTTCGTTATTGGATGATGCGATACGTTCAAATAGAGGAGGAATCAAGATCGATGATCGTCTGGAAGTTGCGAAAAATATGGAGGTGGACTATTTTGCGATATTCCATTTGCATTATGCGAATTTAGGTGCTACAAATTATTTCATTTTTGATCCACGTTTGTCATGTACTGATATTCAACGTTGACTGGTTTATCGACTTTGAACTAATAAAAATGATTCGATTAGCTGAAACATTGCGAGCAAATCTACCACAAGTACGCCTTTTTTGTTACTGGAGCCAATCAACTTTTAGGTCGCAACGCAATTGTCATTACCACAGTTGAATTCAACGCGTAAAGTTTTTTTAAGTGGGAAACGATTTTTTAAAAAAATCAATTTGTCTTAGTGATTGTTCATGCCCGAGCCAAGGAGGTTGACTGTTTACCAATTAATAAGGCGATGCGAATCCAGCTTATTCGAAAAATCTTTGCTGATTCATCAAGGATTAAAGTCAGTAACACTTGTACATGTATTTTATTGTTTCATTGCTATTCATTCTTAGATTTCGGAAGATGATAATGCAGTCTACTTTTGCACTGAAGAAATTAAGCTCAGGCAAGAAAGTAATTATGCATTGTTTTCGATTATCAACATCAACATTTTTTAGATGCAAACATTGAGCAAAAGGTGACGGAGAGAGCACTACAAGAAAATTTTGATGCTACGATGTGCAAGCTGCGCCCGTTGTTGGCTACACTATGCAGTGAACACTTTACGAAGGACAACGTGCCATTCTCCGAAAAGCAATGGTACGCACGCTTTGTAAAGCTATAGTATAAAGCAATTTAGGTTACGAATTGCAAAGCTCATTTGGAGTGATTCAGCATTCAACTCGACCGCGGCACGTTTGGCACAATGTATTTAAACAATGTCTTCTTTATGATTAATAAAAGTATAACATATTTTTTCTCTAAAGGCAATGATTCGGATTCAATGGTATCATATTTTCTGTAATTGACACAGAGTGTAACTAGTTGGAGTGTTGCGAGAGAATTTTGGTATCGATACAATTCCTTACCATGCACAGATTTACTCATTCTCATTTTTGGTAAACTTTATTGTTACTAACGATAAAGTTACACTCTGGTATGGATAAATGTTTCTGACGGCTTTTCGTTGTTTTTTGTTGAGGCTCTCATTTAACGTGTGGTCCCTCATTTCCCATTCGTTTTGTTCTGCGTCTCCTTTAATCTCTCACTATTTCCAGTCACCCAGACGTAGCCACGCCACCAAAACATTAATACAAGGCTTGAAACGTCTCAACCTTTCGATCAAAAATGGATTGATTTTATTTACGCGAGAATTCTAACAAACAAGGCACAGTAATTAATTTAGTTTATCAATAATTTTTCCTGTTATAGATGCGTTCCTTCTTTTGCCTTTTCAAAGTGAAAATTGTGCTGCTATGCGTTCTTTGGTATTCAATCAGTTCAGCCAGCTCTATCACAAATAAAATAATCTTACAGGTGCTTATTTTTACTTTTTATTTGCAGTTAACTTTATTTTAGCAATATCCCTATCCAATGACGGTTGGAATCTTCTCGTTAATGTGTATTCCAATCTGCGCTTCACCGTTGCTTCGTCTCTGGGAAAAACGAAAAGTGACTCTTGGGACACACCACTTTATTCGATACCTTGTTCCAATTTCACTCGGTAAGTAACTATCTGACATTTTTTTAGCACTAAAATCTTTTCTAGGTCGTAGCCTTGCGGTGGCAGCTGCTTATTTCAGCCTTTATAAAATGCCAGTTTCTTATACGCATACAGGTGAGCATTTTTAACGATAATTTAATGAATGACTTTAGTAAAAGCAACGATGCCTTTATTTGCCGTTTTTCTTGGAAGAGTGGTATTGAAGGAAAGACAAAGTCTTAGTGTTTATGCCTCCTTGTTGCCGATAATAGCCGGAGTTGTAATAGGTATGATCATTTTTATTTTAAATTAACTTATCGTGTATGCAAAGTATAATTTCTACTTTAGCTTCGGTCACCGAGTTGTCTTTTTCGGCAATTGGACTGATGGCTGCACTTTTTTCGACGCTTACTTATTCTTTCTTGAACATACTTGTCAAAAAGGTTAGTAACACTTTGAGCTCATCATTGGTGATTCACTTTTGCTTTTAGCTTTTACGAGAGACTGAAATGCATCCTGTGAGATTATTATCGTTGAATTCTCAATTGGCTGCTCTTTTCTATTTCCCAGCATGGTTCTACGAAGATGCCCTATCAATGTTTGCCGCCCTTGCGTCGGATGTGGGTTTTAATAATTTACTCATAAAACTTTCTTGTATTAAGATGTTTTTTTTGTTCCAATCAAGGTTTTAGTCACCATCAATTCCTCGTCCCGATTTCACGATGTTCTACATGTTATTCATTTCCGGCATTCTCTCGTTCGGACAAAGTGTGTGCTCTTACACCTTGATACACGAATTGACGGCTCTAAGTTACGCTGTTTGTAACGCAACCAAACGAATTACGGTCTGAATTAATTTTTTGTAAATAATTATTTTTATTTAGGTAATTGCGATTTCACTAATGACACTCCACAATCCCGTGACAGGATCGAACATTTTTGGAATGTCTTTGGCAATCTTGGGAGTTTTCTGCTACAATCGGGTCTGTTTCTGAAATATTTGAATATAACAAAAGTTTTTAGGCAAAACAGAGTGATAAAGAGGCCGCACATACATTACCGATGACTCGAACACACACAACATTGAGTGATGCATCCCTTGTCGCTCTCGATACAATGGCCATGAATGGAACAACTAAAATGCAGAAACTTTGGTCTGTTTTAATTTTTTTTGAACGTGATGCATCGATGACAAGAATGCTAAAAAGGGGATTTAGGGGATTTTGGATTTTTCTTCACTACAAAAAAAACATTAACGTTTATTTTAATTTTATCATTCTTGTCATTATCAAAGTAGACGTCAGTTAATCATTATAATTTAGATTTTGTCGAGACATATAGGTATAATTAAAATTACTGGGTTTTTTCGGGGCTTCTCATTTTATTTCACTAAAAGGTACCAAAAGTTTTCATGGTAGATTCAATGCTGTAGCAAAAGTTTTCTTTTCTCACCCTTTGATATTTCATTCGCTCTTCTCTGCTATCATCACGATACAAATTCACGTTTGTTCTGTCACCAAACGCTTTTTTTCCCTTGTAACCATAAACCTAATAATAGAAACTCCGAGGTATGGTTTGATTTTGAGAACGTTTCAAAATAGGTAGCCATTTGAAATGAATCGGAAATCGGTGTTTCTATAGCAGGTTTCTTGAAATTGACTTAGATTTTTGTTTAGGCAAACAAAGCCACCGCCGAATGGTTCTCGACTAGCTTTACAAATGGGATGGGATGAGCAATCGTTGATGAGTGATCAATCAGCAGCTTCATTTTCAATTCGAGAACGCCGTGCCGACGATTTCCTTTTTCGCCATAAAGAACCACGAAGGAGTGAAAAGTTTGCGTAGATTTCTCTCTAATATCTAAAAATAAATACAATCCCCCTTCCCCGTTTATCTTCTTTACGTGCTAGTTTTTAGAGATCAAAAATATTGGTTGTCTGTTTTTACTTGTCATATGCTTTCTAATTTGCTTTTTAAAAAACGGGTAATCGTTTCAATGTTTAGATTCCGGTCTGTGATTTGCTGTGCCTTATCTTTTGTCTTATATCAATTAGTCTTTCTTTGTGTCTGTGATTATTTGCGAATAACTAACGATAAAATATCGATCTTTTAGTTATTGAAGTACAAAGATGATCCAAAAAAAGGTTTATGCAAATTTAACAAGCACGACGATTGAAACAGCAAACGCAGCCGCACAGACAATGAACGTGATAGGGACAAGAATCATCTCTGCTTGTACAAGTTTTTTATCAGTTGGACTAAATGTTTGGAAATATTAAATCAGGATCTGGAATAACTCACTCTAATTTAGCGTATTCAACACTATAGTCCTTCATGTCAAGACAGCCCATGATTGAAAAGGAAAAATAAGTGAGACAAAATGTGAAATGTGAAGTGTTACAAAGAGAGTGCCAAATATGGGCTTATCTAAAAAATGTGAAAGGTGTTTCTTGGATAAAAAAGGGAAATGGGCGAAGAAAGGAAAAAAAAAGGAAAACAAATAGACAACTCACCGTGGAATGGACATCGCATGGTAATAAAAGGAAAGCATTGAATTTTCAACCAATGTGTTGCCCTTTCTCTTAATCATTTTAGCGTTTTTGTCATTTTGTTTGAACGATTGAACAATTGCTTCTCACCCATAGGATTGTAATAATCATCGTTTTTTTTTTGATAACCTTTGAAAAACGAAACCATTATAAACCCCATGGTTCCGTGTGCAATTTACAGACTACACTACACTACTGTACTCAGTCATTTTTTTCAATCTTTCTAGATATTTACGTTTTTTAGCTCTAAATTAGTTGATTACTCTTTGCACGGAAAGAAATTGGTTATATGGGTATTGTAATATTTATTAAAATGCAAAAAGTATACGATAATTGTTTATTGGACACGCAATTTCTATACAAAAAAAAAATCACACAGTGAGAACATTTTTAGAAGGAAAAACCCGTTATTGAGACAACAATTTGAGATCTTTTTTCTGGAAGGAAAATAGGGAATAGGGAATTCAGAGAAATCTCCGAAAAGTCAACAAATATTTTCTTTTCATATACCCATTTCAAGAAATTCAAGAATTTCACGAATTTCAAAAAGATAAATTGAAAGCTTTCTTTGTGAACTTTCATTCTTGTAGCAACAATGGCGGCGTCAATGGATCTTGTGTGACGAATAGTTGCGTCATCTCCCTGGATTCTCTTTTCCCATTTCTCGTCGATGTTATCCACAATCCGGACATCATTTCACCGAATGTATTCTCGAATTTCGTTGTCGCTTTTTCCGAGCTGAAACCCTTTTCAATTTATTGAGTCATTTTTTGAAAAAAATATCTCTCCTCTTTATTTGGCTCTTCTCCGTTATCCCGGTTTTTGAATGAGTAGCCACACTTTGCGGGCCGATAACTTTGTTTAAAGATAATGCTATTCCTAACTTTTATATTAGCTTTAAAGAGCACACTTCAGGCTTTTGAATGATATAGAATGAAGCTTGATTGGACGAGACAATCCAGAGAAAACATCAGTAAAACCGAGAGAACAGTGAGATCTGACTCATCTTGTCTCTTGTGTCTTGATTCTCTGGATTCCCTGGCCCAATCAAGTTCTTTTTTATATCATTCGAAAGCCAGGAATGTCCTCTTTAAAACTAATTTAAAAGTTAAGAATAATATAATCTCTAGACAAAGTTCTGAAGGTTTAAAGTTCGGCTATCGATTCGGTTTTTGCGCTCAAAAAGTACTTACGCGGAAACGAGCATCATGAGGAATGTTTGTCGATATTTGCTACATAGGAAACAATATGTGATAAATCCGACATATGAATTGAGAAGTGACAATAAATCGAGAAGATTCCCGAAATTGATATAAACGACATTGTAGACGTCGTTTGTGTAGAGACCATTCAACACAGAGATCACACCTTGAGGCATTTCCGTTAACTGAAATTCCTTTTTTTTTCTTCAATCAATTCAACAATGTTCCAGGTTCAGGTCAAAAAAAGTATGACACGTAAAGTATGACAAGTATGACAAGTATGGACACGGCACGGCATTAAAGTATGACACAACTATCGTAGTCATCAAGATTACCGTATTCTTAAACAAAAAAAAAAGACAGTTTTTGCATCAGGACAGCCATTAATAGCCACTTAAAGTTTTTCCAAAAATTTGGTTTAAAAGGTTTGAAAGGGGCTTTTTTTTTTGAGAAACCCTTTAGAGATATGGGACGAAGATCTTGGGGTAGGCTAATTTCCGCCATTTTATTTGCGCAACTCGCCATAACTTTCTTCTAAGTAAACCAATCTTTATGATTTTGGTTTCATTTTATAGATCTCAATAAGTATAACAGAATGACACCAAAATCATAAAGATTGACCGACTTAGAAGAAAGTTATGGCGAGTTGCGCAAAATGACCCAGTTGCGCAAATGACCCAGTTGCGCAAAAAATTTGGCGCAAAGTAGCCTATCCCAATATCTTAAAAGATTACCGTATTTGTTCGAATAGAAGACCGGGTAAAGAGTATGATCGTGTACTCCTGCGTAGCAGCCCTTTTAAAAATTTCTTTTCTGCATAAAAGCTTTCAATCAAGTGCTATAGGGCTGGAAAATGACTCAAAAATACGACATGAGCTAACAGATTTTTGAGCCATTTTCCAGCTCTATAGCACTTGATTGAAAGCTTTTATGCAGAAAAGAAATTTTTAAAAGGGCTGCTACGCAGGAGTACGCGATGATACTCTTTACCCGGTCTTCTATTCGAAGAAATACGGTAATTCATAAGCTGCTTACGATAACTGAGAAAGAAATTAAACAACTAAAGGGTGATGATTAGCTAGAAAATGAGACAAGTTTACGGTAGTTTTGACACATTTTAGAAAATGGGGAAACATTTCCTAAACAAACCACGAAAACGGTGAGCATCACAATGAGTGTCAGCGTTGTTCGATCGTAATTTTGTTTCCTTTTTTGTGCTCCCGTTGCTGAATAGAGAAGTACCTATAATATCTTTTTCTTTTTAAAGCTCGATTTCTCTTTCCATTTACCGTTCTTTTTATGTTATTTTCCTTCAAAAGAATCATTAAAAATATCGTGAAGAAACTCAACAAAAAACAGGGAATCACCTAAATTTATTCTTTTTTTTGTTTATTTGTTTATTTGTTTATTTGTTTATTTGTTTTTTTTTGTTTTTCTTCTTTCTCACTCACTTTCAAACAAATGCCCAACAACCAGAGATTCATCTTCAAGAATTGACACTGATTTTTGACAGAGAATGTCGAAAAATCGACCGTGTAATAAGTGATATGTTGATGATCGGATGGGAGATATTCGGAAGGGAAGACAACAACCTTAAAGATTGAAATGATGATGGGAATGATGATGGGAATGATGATGGAAAGATGATGGGAATGAAGATTGAAATGATAATGAGAATGATGATGAAAAGATGATGAAAAGATAAAAAGATAAAAAGTGATACCTCGTGTACAATATAAGTCGGAATGCAGATAATGACGATCACTGAGAAAACGGAAGCACATAAATAGCTGAAATCGAAATCGAAATTCGCTATTTCTTTCTTGAATTCACCCCGTTAAATGTGGTCTCAACCATCGACTTTGCGGATCTCTCATTGCACGCCATCTATAAATTTTACGATTCTACAAATTAAGAAACATTCTCAGATCGAAAAAAAATGATTGAAAATCTTTAAAACCTTATAAACGCCATCGTAACGCATAGATACAATGTTGTTGAATGGAGAACAATTGCACCAGTTGCATGAAGACGTAAATAGTGAGCCCATTCATAACTGAAATTTCACCATGAAACCATGAAAGCATGAACGATCAAGCCATCAAGCCATCAAGCCATCAAGCCATCAAGCGATCAAGCGACTAAGCCATCAAGCGATCAAGCGACCAAGCCATCAAGCGATCAAGCCATCAAGCCATCAAACCATCAAGCTATCAAGCGACCAAGCCATCAAGCGATCAAGCCATCAAGCCATCAAACCATCAAGCCATCAAGCCATCAAGCCATCAAGCCATCAAGCCATCAAGCGATCAAGCGACCAAGCCATCAAACCAAATCTCCCCTTCTTCCCCCCTCTCACCTAAATCCCGGCTCGTTTCTCCATTTTCTGACGAAAACGAATCTGACAATGTAGATCAAATATGATGTCATTGTTACAATATCACAAAAAGCGACACCGATCAACACACGATTCACAGCCGATCGTCTCATTCGAGCACGAGTTAACACCTAAAGAAATGGTGAAAATGGCTGAAAGAAAGATTGACTTACCAATATATGAATCAAATTCATAAACATTCCAATTGGGCAAACAAAAAGACAAAGATATGGATGAGCTGAATTGTAGCCACTAAATAAAGAAATTTTGATTTTCTGCATTTTCTAGACTTCGACTCCTGTCCATTTTCAATCAATTACCACACTTTAAAGCTTCAGAACTTTTTCTAGATATTATAGTATTCTTAACTTTTATATTGGTTCGAAAGAAGACATTTCAGCCTTTCAAATGCTATAAAATAGAGTTTGATTGGACCAGCTAATCCTGAGAAAACAGCATTTAAACCAAGAGCAAATACGATCTGATTTGATCTTGATTTCCTGAAGATTGTCTGATTGAATCAAACTCTATTTGTTATCATTCGAAAGCCTGAAATGTCCTCTTTAAAACTAATATAAAAGATAAGAATTATATAATCTCTAGACAAAGTTATGAACCTTCAAAGTGTGGCTATTCATTCAGAAACGCCGAATGATGGACAAGAGCCGACTTTCCCTTTCATACAAACTTCGTGATTGACTGTACAGCGTGAAT